ACCGTGCCAACAGCCCCCATCTTATCCAACAACACAATTACCCCTCCCCCCCATCCAACACCACCATTTAACTGCGACCTGACCATCAACTACTAACCCACCCACCCCCCCCCCCCCACCCCAATCATAGTGTCCTATCCAACCTCACGCCCCAAAAGGGACAGTAACTGGTCCCTCCTTTACAAGACATTTTTGGCCGTGTAGAGGAGCTGTTTATGTTTATTCTCTGTCAGTAACGTTTATAACAGCTCGACACCTCGGTCAGCCGCAGATAAAGACATAAATCTATCAAATAAATAATTATAACGTAGTATCAACGCTGCAATTGTCCCAGCTATATGAGGAATAGCTATTTTATTGAGGGGGGATGTTTTATTTATCACAACAGTATATGGAGCCTAAAAGTCTGAAAACACATCACCTATTATCAATGTTTATGAGTAAAACTTGTAGATTACGTTCACGGTCTGAAAATTTAACACTTTAATCTACTAAATACAGTATCATTTAGCAGAATCAACACTGACAGGCTGATGTGGTGTCGCACTTTAGTGCGACGTATGACGCAGGGGTGGGTTGATATAGTTAGCTGTCACTCTTTGGCGTTTTAAAAAGTAATTTTTAAATTGGATCTTTGCTTTTATTTCGCCTTTGAAAAATAGTAATGTACGAATCTTGACAAAATACTGATGTACTTTAACTTGACAAATTTCGATTGTACTTTAGTGTGACCAGCTGAATTAATTATGTAGAAGGAAATAGCTGTTTTTGACGTGGAGGTGGAGTGACTTGTGACGTCATATGGGGAGGGGTGGAGGGGGGTCTGACATATGTCAGGTGGTGTGTGACGATGAGAGTGGAGGGAGGGGTGTCAACTAAAAGCTAGAGGTATTTAATAGATGTCCAAATGAATTGAATCAACAAATAACTAAATGAAGCACATAGAAAACAGTGTATAGCTTCAGTAGGGAAACGGCGTGGTCGGGTAGGTTAGCGTGTTGTTGCTAGCTCCAAAAGCCCTGAGTTCGGCAGATAATGCTCATTAGCTGGGGAAAAACAGCACAGCTAGGTGCTTAAACGTGTAAAAAAAAAATTAAACAACTGCTGCCTTGCAGATAGTTCTGGCAGAACAAAAAAGCTATGGAAGCAAATCCAGAAAGAAAAGCAGTTTGAAGTACAAGTCATCGGGCTCTATGACGAATACCATGTTGACATGCAAAATTTAAATGTTTAAAGAAATCCACTTCAATCTGACAACAGACTTGAAAAGCTGATTCCAAATGTTTCTTACCAGAAAGCATATTTTTCAACCAAGCGTTTTTTTTTTAAATATTTGAGTTGATAAAATAATTCTGAACGGAATTTTCAACGGCTTATATTCAATACAAAAATTTGAAAACGAGTGTAATTGATAGTTCTCAAACAGCTTTAAGTTTTTAAAATGTAAATATAATTTTATCGCTTGCCATATTTTTCTAAAAGATTTTTTTCAAATTTAGTATGACTACATATACTTTTCAAGGCTAAGGGCTAAGATGAAGTAGGTTCAGCAGCGTGCAGATATTTTAAAATTTTATAAATTTTCAAAATCTTGTTAGCAAAAATTCTAACAAGCATCCCATATTTTTTCAAATTTTAAAAAATGTAGGAAGTTAAAAGGATACCGTTTGATCATTAGAAAATTATTCAATATTCGGCGCTTAGACAATTTTTAAATGGCAAACGCTGCTAGACTTAATAGCTAAAGGGTAAATTTATAATTAACATCTGACCAACCTCTCACTAAATATTTCCCTGCCCCTCGTCCGTACGTCGTCCCCCACCCCTGCCCCTCGTCCGTACGTCGTCCACCACCCCTGCCCCTCGTCCGTACGCCGTCCACCACCCCTGCCCCTCGTCCGTACGCCGTCCACCACCCCTGCCCCATGTCCGTACGCCGTCCACCACCCCTGCCCCTCGTCCGTACGCCGTCCACCACCCCTGCCCCTCGTCCGTACGCCGTCCACCACCCCTGCCCCTCGTCCGTACGCCGTCCACCACCCCTGCCCCTCGTCCGTACGTCGTCCCCCACCCTTGCCCCTCGTCCGTACGTCGTCCCCCACCCCTGGCCCTCGTCCGTACGTCGTCCCCCACCCCTGCCCCTCGTCCGTACGCCGTCCACCACCCCTGCCCCTCGTCCGTACGTCGTCCCCCACCCTTGCCCCTCGTCCGTACGTCGTCCCCCACCCCTGGCCCTCGTCCGTACGCCGTCCACCACCCCTGCCCCTCGTCCGTACGTCGTCCCCCACCCTTGCCCCTCGTCCGTACGTCGTCCCCCACCCTTGCCCCTCGTCCGTACGTCGTCCCCCACCCCTGGCCCTCGTCCGTACGCCGTCCACCACCCCTGCCCCTCGTCCGTACGTCGTCCCCCACCCCTGGCCCTCGTCCGTACGTCGTCCCCCACCCCTGCCCCTCGTCCGTACGCCGTCCCCCACCCCTGCCCCTCGTCCGTACGTCGTCCCCCACCCCTGCCCCTCGTCCGTACGCCGTCCACCACCCCTGCCCCTCGTCCGTACGTCGTCCCCCACCCCTGGCCCTCGTCCGTACGTCGTCCCCCACCCCTGCCCCTCGTCCGTACGTCGTCCCCCACCCTTGCATTTATAGACATCCCACAATTCCCGCTCAATGATTGATTTAAAATAAATTTAAATTATGACAAATGTGAAAAAAAGGACCTGTCAGAACTTTCAAAATTAGCTCCAAAATATATCAAAACCTTAAAAAATACATTCTAAAACTATATCAGAGCTATCTAAGGTAAAATTGATATATAAAAATGTAGCTAATTCTCTTGATACACCAACCCATGATATTTTATATACAGAATTCGTATCTTTATAACAGCTATGTTGTAAAATAAATACAAAAAATAGCTTATTACTTAAGTTTTTATCTATGAAAGCAGGTCGTATATTATCATATTAAAATCACCTCAAGCTGTTGTTGCATGAAAGGGTGGGGGAACGGGGGGATGCTGTGGGTTACAAAACTCTGATCAAGTCCATTTACACTTAAAATAGAGTGTACAATAGGTTAGTCGCTTTTTCCTATCGTCGAAAGTTATCACAATATCAAAGAGTTGTCTCCCCTGGCCCGAAGATTTGTCTCCCCTTCTGTTCGGCCAATATTCTCTCAGCTAACAAACATTTATCAGCGCTTTCTCACAAGTGTAAACATTTACTTTTCACTAACTGGACCGTGAACTTTAAACAGCGCAGCTTATCTGCTGGGTACGCTGATGGCATTGTAATCCCACGTCAAACAAGTGGCCCCATTATGGTCACAGCATGGCTTAGCAAAGTTTCTTTTTGAACTCATCATTGCGTACATTAAACGATTGAGTGTTCTATATAAGAGGAATGTAGGTCAAACAATCAACTCAAATACCCCAAGATTTTTTTTAAAAATTCGGTTTTGATAGTTTTATGTTGCACCACACCCATAATGGATTTGTAATGAATTAAATTTATTGTTTCCTTATCTGGTAACGGCCGTCCACCTACTTACATTTTTTAACATTCTCAAGTAGATGAATGTGGGTTTAAATAACTGTAGCCTACTGGCTTATCTTCTAGCTCTGACACGGCTAGTTAATAACGATATATGTCAGCCCCCCCCCCTTCCCCATCCAACCCACACACACTCAGTTACCTATATCCACACCCCCCCCCCCCATTCCTTCTCCGTATATTGGCTCTCCCCCAATCCCTTGTCTTTTCTCCATTTTTTATCAAACGTATTGTTATGTAAATAGTTGTAAATTTACCAGGTCCCTTGTACTGTGTAACACTGGTTACGAGGCTACGGTTGTAAATTAAAACTGGTGGGTGGGGTAGGGGGTGTCATCTCCGCCTAGGCGAGGCATAGTTTTCATGTTGTCACTGTCGGGACATGATCTATTGTCACTGTCGGGACATGATCTATTGTTACCGTCGGGACATGATCTATTGTTACCGTCGGGGCATGATCTATTGTCACCGTCGGGGCATGATCTATTGTAACCGTCGGGAGATGATCTATTGTTACCGTCGGGCATGATCTACTGTCGCCGTCGGGGCATGATCTATTGCCTTGGTGTGGATGGTAAGGTCAAGCAGGTGAACATTTTCTCGCGTGCTAGGTGAAACAGTTCCAAGTGACCTCAGGTCAGGTAGATCTGGAACCCGTGGAGTCATTACATACCTGATTGGTTTAAGGTAGTCACACTAGACAATGACCATCACGACAGCAGGATAAAATAATATCTGCCATTACTTATGATACTTCTAATATATATGGGGGAGATCTCTATTAGATAAATGACTATTGACCAATGATTTCTATTGTAATCGTAAAATAGTAATCAAACATATCTTCATCATCTTCTTTTCCCGTTCATGCCCAAGACAGATGAAGTAGAGTTCATCTGTTTCAGTGTACTCGGCATATGAATGGATAATGGGGTCAGCACTTTGCCCAGCCGCCTTAATTTTTCATAACGTGATTCAGATACCTATCAGAGCTGGGTGGCCCCATGGACGTTCTACTGACATGAACCCGGATTCGAACTCAAGACTTATCAGTTTAGCGACATACCGCTAGGACACACCGTCCCATAAAAATACCTCAGGTGTAAAAATAGTTCTAGGGCTCAAGAGATTTAACAGTCTTTAGAATGTGCCCTCGCCTTTATATTTCATTGAAAAAGAAACGTAACTATTAAATCTTGTTGGTGATTTATAGAGTGAGTTGTGTAAATATCGATAGTATTTTATAGATTGGTGGGTGTAAATATCGATATTTTATAGAGTGAGGTGTGTAAATATCGATAGTATTTTATAGATTGAGGTGAGTAAATATTCATAGTGTTCTATAAACACAGACGTGTGACTATTTATCTGGTGAAAAATTAAAGACATTTGACAAAATGTTCTAAATTTGTTTTAAAAAAAAATACTTTCTAATTTTTTCCAAAAAACCAGAAACTTCATCTCCAGTGAGAGCCATTAAGCCATGGAAAAAAAAACACTTCAGACCATTCTTCTAATGCTAGCCCTAGCCAGCCAGACTTATGCTCAAGGTAACGTCTGCTGATAGGTTTAGTTCGGTCATTGACTTTAAACTTACTCTTAATACACCGTGTAAGCTAAAATATACTACAAATTACGTAAGAGGGTATGAAGGGATAGGGTGGGGGCGGGAAGGAATTACAATTATCTCTTTGACTCATTATTTTAAACATTTTTTTAGATTTCCGAATATTTATTGTGTCAAAGCTATCGTTTATTTAAAAAGAAAATATGATATTTTTGCTTACCCTTGTTATGTCACTTTAACTTTTATAAAATATAACACATAATTTTAGTTTATTAATTAAAGATTGATCTCTTGTAGATCTCCACTTTCCATTTAAACTTCACTAATGTGTTTCTTACAAATTTTTCTACCTGTAGTTTGTTTTCCTTACGGAGTTGCCGACCCTAACAAAGTTCCGATAAACAACATCGTGACGTCATCAAACGACAAAGTTCACGGAAAAGAACAAATACGATATGGATGCTGCGAAGGTTGTTGTTTTTTTTTAATTTACTACAAGTATATTGGTTATATAATATGATTTTAAAATACTTACTATGTATATTGGTTATATAATGTGATTTTAAAATACTCGCTATTGAAAAGATCCGCTTAACATCAAGGCTCGTAGGATAAAAATTTATAAAAAGCGTTAGATACTTTGAACCGTGAAAGATAAGAGATGATGTGATAAATAAACAAGCCGTGAAATCCCATCAAAGAAACTAATCAGACGGCAGATTCGTCAACGAGAATTACCCTGCCTGGTAATGGGAGAGTTACCTCGACTGATAATTGACTAGTTGTTTACATAACACGGCAAAACATTTTTACGAAATAAATTAACAGTTTCATTTAACAGTGGGAATTTGCCACGGAAACGTCAAAGTGGGCATTAAGTAAAATAAAGAATAACAATGCTAAATATTCATTCGGAATTAAGGCTCTATGGAACGGACACAGTAGGGTGTCTCTTGGCAAATTAGATGATTATCTAGTTAACTCATAGCTTTACATTTCCAACTCGAGTCAGGCACACGTTAGAGCTGAGTAGACTCAGATACGTCATACCGACCCGAACGCGGTAACCAAGCGCGGGGACTTAAGCCATATATGGGCATGTCGACATTGACTCAGGTTGCAGGACTATCAGCACAGTGTAGACGTCAGCTGGTTGTCATACAGACTCTCTTTAGACCTAAAGATCCATTGGGCAGCTGAAGTAGAGTTCATATGTTTCTTGACCTCGGCATATGAAGGGAAGGTGTGGTCAGCACTATCCCCAGCCAACTTCACTTTCCCTAACACGAGTTAGGTACCCATCAAAGCTGGGTGGACTCAGAGACGTTCTACTGACTTGGACCTGTATTCGAACTCGATACTTGTCATAGCTCCATGTATTTCCCAACCGTTTATGTTTGTTAAAATCCCAACTATGCCAACACCTGCCACTATTCACATTGTCTACTCTCTGTACCAGAATCGTACGGTAACGCCTGGTGTCCAGACCCTGATGACAAAAACCCCTCGGTGGAGATCCGCCTGGACAAGGTGACGCCCATAGGAGGGCTCATGTTACAGCGGCACAGCGGCGGCAACCGACCAGGATTTTACACCGAGTATTTCATGCAGGCGTTTGATCTTTACCTGAGAATAAATGGCGTTGTGTATTTAATTGTCCAGGTAGATGCATATATGTTATTACTTAGTTTTACTTTTTAAAGAATTCATGATTTGTTAATGAATCAATGATTAAAAAGTCAAATAATTAAAATCTCGCTAGTTACTAAAACTATCAGAGGTGTATACACTGATAGTCCAGGTGTGGACTGGCTGTGTCCAAGAGGCCTGAGAAATTTTTAAAAAGTGTTCCATATCCCGGATTGAAATTTTCGCTGTGCAATTTTTCTCCATCAACCCTGCATTTGAGGCTGGTATTAAGGAATGATAAAATACCAACATTATTTTAACAGATGATTATTACAACGTTCCTGGTCGCCTACCGAGATATTTTAATTGGGAATCACCTGGACTTTTCCCGGTAGACCGGTGGGCCAGTCCACCTGTGCAACAGTCTATTAAACAAAAACATATTCGTTATTTTTTAAAACTACACAAATATCTTAATTCGAGTTCACATAGCATTGATAAAGGCCTATGTATTGAAAGCGTCTCCAGCGTGAATTATTTGTTTCAATGTGTCCAAGTGAAAATAATACTTTATTATACAAGACACAAACCAAAACTCTAAAAAAAATTAATATAAAAATAATAAATTCAACTATTTTTATTTTATTTTACAGAGAAATATTTATAATAACGGCTATGCAACTTGTAGGCGTATTATGTTTAAAAATTAATAGAGAGATAAATAAATAATAAATGAAAACAAGAAATAATGTGTTAAATTATGTTTGCCGCTGTTTTACGTTAAAAATGCATTTTTATAAAACGAGAGAGCAATTTGTTTTAAACCATTTAAATTATTTTCTAAATGTTTGATTTGTATAGCTAGATCAATGTTTGCTAAAATATTTATTTAACCTAGACGTAAAAAGACAAATACCGTCTTTTTATCTTTAAGAATCAATCAGCCTTAGACAACAACACTGTAGTGAGCAGCAACATGGCCTTTAGTCCATCCATTAACACAGACATGGTGAGAATCGTGCCCAAGACGTTTGTAAAGGCGCCATGTTTTCGTTTGGAACTCCTGGAGTGTGTACCAGCAAGTAAGACCCTTGGTTTTTGTGTCGTTTTGTACAAGATACAATGTTTTACAGTATTTAATGCAACACAAGTTTTTTTGTATTGCACAATTGTATATATAACAGAATTCAGTGTATCGTCGCAGTAAATGCATCATACACTGTATTGCAGTGGCGTCTCTAGGTCGCGTGATCCTGGTGAAATACCCCCCCCCCCCACCTCCGCTAACGGCAACATGTATCATATACCAAAACCATAGACACTGGTGTTTTTTCCGTCCGTTGTCACTCTATGTCTAACAAAGTAAACACAACTAATACGCTGTTAAATTAACGGGAAAAACATATTTTCTCATTAAAATTAGGTATATTTTGTTTTGGTGTCACCCCTTTGGATGGTGTCACCGACCTTGTGACCCCACTGCTCTAGTGTAGCTTTAAAGTAGAGAATTTAGTGAAAACACTGTTTAGCACGTAGTAGTTTACAACGCCATATACAGAGAAAGGTTCAAATCAAACGCTATTGCATTTTTTTCTGTACATGTGTACCACTAGATAGTTGAACAAAACATAAGACGTTTAATTTAATTTTAGTTCTAACGTCGAATGTTACACCTTAATACTGTAACATACATAACATAATGTCTGAGTAAAAAGTCTGAAAGAAACACTGTATCTGATATCTGTTGTGTTAAGATTGAACCAGAAGAGTCATGTAGTTTTGTTTGCTTAATTCGCTCATCCTTCTTATGTTTCTAGCTACGACTGAGGGTACCACAACACCAACTACAACTTCTACAACGACGACAACAACAACTACAACAGTTCCTACAACGACAACGACAACAACAACTACAACAGTTCCTACAACGACAACAACAACAACAACTACTACAACAGTTCCAACAACAGGTAGGCTATAGATTTCCATCTGTTATCCCTCTGAAGGTTCCAGTCGTATTTTAATTTATTTTTTTATTTTACTGACATAGTTTATAAGTTTCTTTATATTTTTTGTTAATTGGAAAGACGCTGTAAAATGATTCAAAATCGCTGTTTAGTATAATTTTTAGATACTTTTATGATGTTTAGATAAAACTTCATTTATAATTGCGTTAAATTACTAAATATTTGAATAATATAAAAAAATTCATTGATGTTTCATTTATTTATGTTAATTCGAAAATATTTGTTTTGTGAATATTTAAATGTTTAATTAAATTTATTTTAAAATACTGCTCCTCTAAACATTCATATTGAGTTACTATACACGAATTTCGGAACACTGTAATCTATGCCAGCTAATTTAAACTTTTTCAGTTAGTATTGTTTTACAACAATAGTACTTTGTGCACTATATTAGTTTAATTACATCAATACACAATTATCAACTACAGTGCCAGCATACACTGGTCCGTCCTGGAGCCTGATCAACATCACGCAAGACAGTGTTGTGTCCGATGGCTGGAATCTTACCCTCGAGGGGAAGCCGGAAGTGGGGCCGGAGGGGGTGGAGCTTAGCAAACCAGAGCAGGCTATTGTGGTGAGTACTTTATCACAGATCTCTGAGGTCAACGTGCACACTAAATTGACTGGCGAAGTTACGATAGTCTACACAATATGGACGCGAGTTACCGTATCACATCACTGTGCCAAGTCAACCAAGTGGGACGGCGTGGTCGATTGGTAGAGCGTTCGGCTACTAGCGTAAGGTCTCGAGTTAGGATCTCGGGACGGTAGGACGTTTATGTCCACCGAGATCCGACTTATTTTGGGGAAAGTAAAGGCCATACGCTGACGTCAAGAAACATATGAACTCTACTTCTATGATCAAGAAATTACTTAATTGTAAACAAGTTTGATATTATATTTCAATGTAACCTACATAAATAACATTGGTTGTTTTGAGGGAGGTTAGGTAGCTTACATACATGCACATTTAATAAAACCTACCAATGTACTTTCAATTTAATCAATCGTAATGGTCGTGTAAACATTGGGTCTCTTATTTTAGATTCCAGTTTCAAACGACTCATGTCTGACTAACCCCAGCGCGTGCACCCAGGGTTTGACCATTCACGTGACCATCAAGGTCGTGTCCATTGTAGAGAATAGCATCATCTTCACCAGTGGGGGAGATAAGCCTGATCAGCCAGGTGTCACCATGGTGTACAGGTGAGACCAGGTTACAGGTTGGTGGCTACAGATGGTCTATGGTTGTCATCTGGGTAGTGGTCAGCTACTGGTAGTGGTCAGTACAGGTAGTGGTCAGTTACTGGTAGTGGTTGGTGGCTACAGGTAGTCTATGACTGTCATCTGGTCAGTTACAGGTAGTAGTCAGTTACTGGTAGTGGTCAGCTACAGGTAGTGGTTGGTGGCCGCAGGTAGTCTATGGCTGTCATCTGGGTAGTGGTCAGTTACAGGAAGTGGTCAGTTACAGGTAGTGGTCAGTTACTGGTATTGGTCAGTTACAGGTAGTGGTCAGTTTCATGTATTGATCAGTTACAGGTAGTGGTCAGTTACATGTAGTCGTCAGTTACAGGTAGTGGTCAGTTAAAGGTAGTGGTTGGTGGCTACAGGTAGTGTATGGCTGTGATCTGGGTGGTGGCTGGGGTACTTTAGTTTCATTTAAGAGTAAACCATGAGACAATAAATATAACGGAATACTAATTGAGCTTATATATGTCTGCATCAGATTCGGGATGATCCATATCGTGGTGTCCACTACAAACCAGTCCTGGTACCTGTCCGTACCACGTGACACCATCAACTGGTCACTCGAGTTTGTCAGCGTCTACGTCTCCTGGAGCCTGGACACCTCGCTCAAACTGGTCATCAACAACGTGAGTATCACGTGGTTGCTCGGGTTTTAGTCAAGACATTGGTTTCTACGCATTTAGTCATTTTAGTCGAATACGTGACTATCTCGTATTCAGTGTTTCTTCAGACTTTTTTCTCCGGGGGGTACTTGAAATTTTCGGGGGGGGGGGGTGGTAGACTTTCTTTGGGGGGGGGGGGGCGGACACTGTTAAAAGTATATATTTTCTATATAAATTATATAGATTTCATTTCGTTCGGGGGGGGGGGGGGGGGGGGGCGGTAAAAAAATTTCGGGGGGATAGGGGGGCGATCAGTAGTTTCTTCACATTGGTCAATGGCGTAGGCTTGGTCACTAAAGGTCAAAGTTGTCGTATAATATCGACAATCATTGTGACTACTCATTAGTATTGATGTTTTATTTTTTAAAAGGAAATTAGCAATCATAATTACCGTTTTAAAGACATAATTAACAAGACATACTCCGCTCGTTCAAAATAAATCCTAGAGAAGATAATTGTCGAAATTATCCCAATAATCCCACACTTGGTAAATTTAGAAAACGCACAACACCCCCCCCCCTTCCCCCAGCGAAAAGAGTCTACAGCCACCCCCCCCCCCCCGAACGATATGGAATTTATATAGTAAATATATACTTTTACCAGTGCCCCCCCCCCCCTTCGAAAATATCAATTGCCCCCACCCTCCACGGAAAAAAGTCTGGAAGCCCTCTGGTACAGGTATAACAATAATAAAGCCCTCTGATACAGGTGTAACCATACTAAAGCTTCTGATATAATTGGCTTTGTTCCAGGTGTTGGTAGCCGAGACGACCACGTCAATCAATCACGTGACTAGCGTGTCAGTGACCAATAGTCTGATCTTTGGTGGTAGTCACGCCCACTCCATCATCAGCTCCATCAAGATCTGGTTGGTACACATCCTCATACTGGTCAACAACAACATCGTCGACTGCACATGTAAGTCCTCCGATATGTCCTCCTATCCGTCACGTCCTCCGTCATGTCATCCGTCATGTCATCCGTCTTGTTCTCTCGTTATGTCCTTCCATCCGTCATGTCATCCGTCATGTCATCCGTCATGTCATCCGTCTTGTTCTCCCGTTATGTGCTCCCATCCGTTGAAAAAACGATAAAATACCTGGGCATTGCAACGCAAAATGTACACAAGTTTTTATCAACATATTACGTAAAAGTATTTCCTTTGTTCACTAGTAGTAAGGCGCTGTACAACATTTGTACCCACACTTTATCTCATTGGTACCCACACTTTATCACATTGGTGCCCACACTTTATCACATTGGTACCCACATTTTATCACATTGGTGCCCACACTTTATCTCATTGGTACCCACATTTTATCACATTGGTACCCACACTTTATCTCATTGGTACCCACACTTTATCACATTGGTGCCCACACTTTATCTCATTGGTACCCACATTTTATCACATTGGTGCCCACACTTTATCTCATTGGTACCCACATTTTATCACATTGGTACCCACACTTTATCTCATTGGTACCCACACTTTATCACATTGGTGCCCACACTTTATCTCATTGGTACCCACACTTTATCACATTGGTGCCCACACTTTATCTCATTGGTACCCACATTTTATCACATTGGTGCCCACACTTTATCTCATTGGTACCCACATTTTATCACATTGGTACCCACACTTTATCTCATTGGTACCCACACGTTATCACATTGGTACCCACACTTTATCTCATTGGTACCCACACTTTATCACATTGGTACCCACACGTTATCTCACTGGCACCCACACTTTATCTCATTGACACCCACACTTTATCTCATTGGTTACCCACACTTTATCACATTGGTACTCACACTTTATCTCATTGGCACCCACACTTTATCTCATTGGCACCCACACTTTTATCTCATTGGCCAACAATATTCAAATCATTACGTTCATCTAGACAGTATTATTTACGGAAAATCTATGTCTAGTTAGCCAATATACCTACACTCCCCCACCATCCCCCACCAAAAGTGCTACAGCTATATCAAAAATTAATAAATTGTTTGGCCACAGCTGATGTGTATGCAAGTTTCCAGTCAGCTTTATATTATAGCTAGCTACTTGTGTTTTTAAGTTCCATTGATGTTGTGTTTGGTTTGATTTAAAAAAAATATAACGTTCAAAACAATTTCTGACAACTAAGCTCAATGAATATTATTTTTCAATATTCGTCTTTGCTAATATGCGATTTTGTAATCAGACTTACATTATTTATATTGTGATTTATGTTAATAAATATTGCAATTTTATCAAGATTCTTTTGTGTCCATTATTTATACACTTTTAGGTTTTTTTCATATTTGACTTACATGAGACACGTGTATACAATGCCAAGACATAACACACAAATATTTTAGACGCGTCAATAAGTGTTTGGGTAAAACTTCTAAGCCCGTGTTACAGATAGTTTTGTTTGTCAATAAAAGTTGCTTCTCTGCAGGTACGACAAAACCCACAACTACAACCACAACCACAACAACCTATAGTCCTACAACAGTTGCTGAGCTTACCACCGAGGACAGTGCTACAACACTGGACAGTGTCCACACCACTGCGTTCACCTGTCCCGCTGGTTGTGTTCCAGATGGTAAGTTAGAGTTATCTACCCTGATTTTTTAGCGCAATTTCCATACTGGGGGATTGCGATTATTAACTCGTCATTTCTGGATGGATGGATGGATGTGTCCGCAGCGTGTCCGCAGCTTTAAGTCGTATCTCCTCCTCAACGAAGCAATATCGAGGACTAGTTCCAAAAGCAAATATGTTAAGCAAGTTCCGAGGATAAACATAGGCCAAAAAAATTCCCGGAATTCCTTCCTGGATTTCCCGGAAAAGCAAAGAAAAACCTCGAAAAAATGCAGTTTTTGGCCCATATCTCGGCAACCAGACCACTTAGCGACTTGAAACATTTACCAATCGATTCCTGCCATAATTTAGAACAATATTGCCGAAGAAAGTTTTCAAAAATATCCTTTCGTTCGGTCACAAAAATTTTTAAAATTACATAAACAACTACAAACCGATCGTTCTCCTAGCTTGAATGCACCCAAACTTGATCACTATCTATTTTTAGATAACATAAGGAAATTGCGCTTAAATTGTCACTAGACTTTTTATTAACTTGGTTTTTTTTGCAGCACATTATGCATTTATCTTTTACAGTTAAAGCATTCAAAAACTTATGTACATATCCACAAATCAAACATCAAATTCATAATTTGTTTACGATAATCGATAAATTCATTTACTCTTACACAAAAAAAATGTTTGCTTCTGAATAAAATGTTTTAGTTTGTTGGCGGTTTGGTTTTTAATAAAATGTTCTACCTATATCTTAATTAAGACCAGTGCTCAACATGGGAAGTACCGACGATTGTAACCGAAGATCCAAACTTGACCACCGACCTACCGCAAACGACAAGAGATCCAGATACTACGTCTGTAACTCAGAGGCCAACAACATCACCATCAGCTACTGAAATAAAACCAGATACTGGCAATACACCAGAGCCAACAACACCAGAACCTACAACACCAACACCAGAACCTACAAAACCACAACCTACAACACCAGAACCTACAACACCACCACCAGGACCTACCACACCCCAACCTACAACACCAACACCGGGACCTACAACATCCCAAACTACAACACCAGAACCTACAACACCAACTCCAGAACCTACCACACCGCAACCTACAACACCAACTCCAGAACCTACAAAACCGCAACCTACAACACCAGAACCTACAACACCAAATCCAGAACCTACCACACCGCAACCTACAACACCAGAACTTTCAACACCAACTCCAGAACCTACCACACAGCAACCTACAACACCAGAACTTTCAACACCAACTCCAGAACCTACCACACCGCAACCTACAACACCAACACCAGAACCTACCACACCGCAACCTACAACACCAACACCAGAACCTACCACTCCAACACCAGAACCTACCACACCGCAACCTACAACACCAACACCAGAACCTACCACACCGCAACCTACAACACCAACACCAGAACCTACCACTCCAACACCAGAACCTACCACACCGCAACCTACAACACCAACACCAGAACCTACCACTCCAACACCAGAACCTACCACACCGCAACCTACAACACCAACACCAGAACCTACCACACCGCAACCTACAACACCAACTCCAGAACCTACCACACAGCAACCTACAACACCAACTCCAGAACCTACCACACAGCAACCTACAACACCAACACCAGAACCTACCACACCGCAACCTACAACACCAACACCAGAACCTACAACACCAACTCCAGAACCTACCACACAGCAACCTACAACACCAACACCAGGACCTACCACACCAACACCAGAACCTACAACACCAACTCCAGAACCTACCACACAGCAACCTACAACACCAACACCAGGACCTACCACACCAACACCAGAACCTACAACACCAACACCAGGACCTACCACACCGCAACCTACAACATCAGAACCTACAACACCAACTCCAGAACCTACCACACCGCAACCTACAACATCAGAACCTACAACACCAACACCAGAACCTACCACACCGCAACCTACAACACCAACACCAGAACCTACCACACACCAACCTACAACACCAGAACCTACAACACTTACACCAGAACCTACCACAACGCAACCTACAACACCAACTCCAGAACCTACCACACCGCAACCTACAACGCCAACTCCAGAACCTACCACACCGCAACCTACAACACCAACACCATTTCCTACCACAACGCAACCTACAACACCAACTCCAGAACCTACCACACCGCAACCTACAACGCCAACTCCAGAACCTACCACACCGCAACCTACAACACCAACTCCAGAACCTACCACACAGCAACCTACAACACCAACACTAGAACCTACCACATCAACACCAGAACCTACCACACAGCAACCTACAACACCAACACGAGAACCTACCACACCCCAACCTACAACACCAGAACCTACAACACCAGAACCTACAACACCAACACGAGAACCTACCACACCGCAACCCACAACACCCCAACCTACAACACCAGAACCAACAACACCAACACCAGAACCTACCACACCACAACCCACAACACCCACTACCACCACAACAACACCAGCCCCAACACCCCAACCCACAACAAGACCACCCTGCCCACCCATCACCCCAACAGTAACCCTAACCTCAACTGTCAACGCCAACGGTCAAGGCTCCTTGACCTGCTCCGTACCCCAGCCTCCAGGCGTGGGCGTCACCATCAAGTTTACCTGGTACGTCAATGGCGTCTCTAGCAACTGGACCAAGTACATTGAAGCCCCTGACACCTCCGCCTCCATTTTAATCACGGAGATTGGCATCGACCTTCTGAACGCTAGGGTAAATACAAACTAGCATGAACTCAGACATATATATTCGTCGTACTTTCAAAGAAATTATTTTGCTATTTACAATTGTCATTTTTCTTTAACCGATAGATTACCTGTACGGCCGAGTCTAAATACCTGGACAACAGTGCCGTGTGGTGCAACAGTGTTGTCAGTAACACCATTGTTCCTGCTATTCAGGTAGGAGTTTTTGTTTGGATACTCTTATGGGGGCATTAGCATATAACAATAAACTAACAACTGATGTTCTAAATGTTTTCTAATACTTATGTATTTTTACCCTAAAACTAGACTATCATTACAATGACCACTAAACACACACACACACATATGTTTCACTAAAACTAGATTATCTTTACAGTAACCCTAAACACGCAATAAATGTTTCCTAAAACTAGACTACAATAGTGCCCAACTACCACACACACAAAGATGATTCACTTAAACTAGCCAATCTTTACACACACACATTTTCCACTAAAACTAGCCTATCTTTAAAGTGCCCACCAACCACACACAAACAATCCCCACTAAAAGTAGTCTATCTTTACAGTGCCCACCAAACACACCAATCACCGTGTCAGAAGGCAGCGGCGTGTTCACCCTCCAACTAGCCGTCACGGTACCCCCAGCCTTGTTGTGTAAACCCCAGCAGAACGGCGGCTGTAGGGTGGAAGTTATCACAGAGATCCTCGGCCACAACCAGGACTTAAAGTAACGTTATCAAAATCTTTAGTGTTTGTAGAACAATGAATGTTGTAAAAAGTGAGATGTGTGAGACCATTGACAAATGTTTGGTGGATGTTGAAATAGCTCTGAGATCGTAGAGATAGGTCTGGGACTGTGGAGAAAGGTCTGAGATTGTAGAAAGATGTCTGTATGATCGTAGAGAAAGGTCTGAGATCGTAGAGATAGGTCTGGGACTGTGGACAAAGGTCTCCAAAGGTCTCCACGGCAACTGACCTTCTATTTAAAATGGTTATAAAGCAAAAAATAAACCTGGATCTTCGCTTTTCATTGAAAGCCGCCACGATACAGATATCACCTTGACTATACAACTATGTTGTATATATGCATATGTATATATTCAAATGTATATATGTATATGTGTACATGCACATAGTTCACTTTGCATATTTTGTGTGATGTATATTATCAAAAACAAAACCCCATTAAGTGAACCATATATCTAATGTTCTTTTATCAAACTCTTCCAATTTAACTCTGTTCAGGTGTTCCCAGACCCAGAGTATACCCCAGGCTGTGATAGGGGTGGGGGTGGTGGGTGAAGGCAGCAACAGAAATTGTGGTGTGGAGATCTCCAACACCAACTGGCAGTTTGGTGTCTCCATCCCCATCAAGGCCACCATTGATGGTGTCATTGATGGTAACAGGAAGAGGACAATCCGCATCAAAGTTAGGATTGTTGGCACAGTAAGTAGAGCTAAAGATTGTTGGCACAGTAAGTAGAGCTAAAGATTGTAGGCACAGTAAGTAGAGCTAAAGATTGTAGGCACAGTAAGTAGAGCTAAAGATTGTAGGCACAGTAAGTAGAGCTAAAGATTGTAGGTACAGTAAGTAGAGCTAAAGATTGTAGGCACAGTAAGTAGGGCTAAAGATTGTAGGTACAGTGAGTAGAGCTAAAGATTGTAGGCACAGTAAGTAGAGCTAAAGATTGTTGGCACAATAAGTAGAGCTAAAGATTGTAGGTACAGTAAGTAGAGCTAAAGATTGTAGGTACAGTAAGTAGAGCTAAAGATTGTTGGCACAGTAAGTAGGGCTAAAGATTGTAGGTACAGTGAGTAGAGCTAAAGATTGTAGGCACAGTAAGTAGAGCTAAAGATTGTTGGCACAATAAGTAGAGCTAAAGATTGTAGGTACAGTAAGTAGAGCTAAAGATTGTAGGTACAGTAAGTAGAGCTAAAGATTGTTGGCACAGTAAGTAGAGCTAAAGATTGTAGGTACAGTAAGTAGAGATAAAGATTGTAGGTAGAGTAAGTAGAGCTAAAGATTGTTGGCACAGTAAGTAGAGCTAAAGATTGTAGGCACAGTAAGTAGAGCTAAAGATTGTAGGTACAGTAAGAAGAGCTAAAGATTGTAGGTACAGTAAGTAGAGCTAAAGATTGTTGGCACAGTAAGTAGAGCTAAAGATTGTAGGTACAGTAAGTAGAGCTAAAGATTGTAGGTACAGTAAGTAGAGCTAAAGATTGTAGGTACAGTAAGTAGAGCTAAAGATTGTTGGCACAGTAAGTAGAGCTAAAGATTGTAGGTACAGTCAATAGAGCTAAAGATTGTAGACACAGTAAGTAGAGCTAAAGATTGTAGGTACAGTAAGTAGAGCTAAAGATTGTTGGCACAGTAAGTAGAGCTAAAGATTGTAGGTACAGTCAATAGAGCTAAAGATTGTAGACACAGTAAGTAGAGCTTAAGATTGTAGGTACAGTAAGTAGAGCTAAAGATTGTAGGTACAGTAAGTAGAGCTAAAGATTGTAGGTACAGTAAGTAGGGCTAAAGATTGTAGGTACAGTAAGTAGAGCTAACATAACAATTTGTAGGTATAATAAGTAGAGCTAAAGATTGTAGGTACAGTAAGTAGAGCTAAAGATTATAGGCACTGTAAGTAGAGCTAAAATTTGTAGGTATAGTAAGTAAAGCTAAATATTGTAGGTACAGTAAGTAGAGCTAAAGATTGTAGACACAGTAAGTAGAGCTAAAGATTGTAGGTACAGTAAGTAGAGCTAAAGATTGTAGGCACAGTAAGTAGAGCTAAAGATTGTAGGCACTGTAAGTAGAGCTAAAGATTGTAGGTACAAAAAGTAGAGCTAAAGATTGTAGGCACAGTAAGTAGAGCTAAAAATTGTAGGTACAAAAAGTAGAGCTAAAGATTGTAGATACAGTAGGTAGAGCTTAAGATTGCATGTACAGTAAGTAGAGCTTAAGATTGTAGGCACAGTAAGTAGAGATTAAGACTGTAGAGCCAAGGACAGCTAACCCCTGACTACCAATGTTTCAGACGAGCCAGCAGATCTACGAGGTGGCGTGTGGCCAGACAGAGATCACCATCATAGACAACGACAAGCCATGTGGGTGTGGCTCCATCAACGACCCCCATATGACGTCATTTGATCAAGCGTAAGAGAACCATTTTTATAGCATCCTGTTTGATTTGGACTATTTAAAAAAAATTAATCGACCATTGGTTACAGAAACTGTGGATAAATTATACACCAGTAGTGTTTTTTTTACCTTTGTGCAAATATTTTTGTTGCATACGAACAAATTCGAAAATATTCCTAAACAAATAACACTGTAACGATTTTCTTCTTTCTCACGGATTGTCATACAAGAGAGATAACTTCAAGTTTGAACAAATGCACAGCAAAGTAGTTATGTCCCTTTTTAAAATCTAAATCTATTTTGCCAAGTTGATTTTCTCTATTTTAAAAATTTTAAAAAATATGGGAATTGGTCACTTGGTCATTTGACCAAGTCCAGTCTACTTTACCCCAGCGTTTCTTCACATCTAATCTTTTAAAACATTTCAATCGTAATTTGTTAACGCTAACAGGTGTTTTTTTTTATTTAATAGTTTAAAACATGGGATAAACTCTAAACTCTGATTGTATTTTTCGACAACAAAGCCGAATACGATTACAATGTTTGTTAGTTATGTTTTAATATTGGTCCCTGCTTAATGCTGTGATTTTTTTTTGTTCCTGACTGTAGAAAATACAACAACCACATTCCAGGGGAGTTTATCATGTACAGACACACTACCCTGCCTTATGAGGTATAACTCTTTTTTTTTTAGTTATCAGTTGTTTGAAGACTTTAACTCCACTTTTAGCAGAGTTTCTTTAAGACATCTCTCCGGAGAGGCACATGACCCCCCCCCCCACCTCGGACGTAATGAAAAATAATAATTGACATAGAGCTTTAACCAATTTCCCCCACCCCACCTACCACCCCCCCCCCCCCCGCCCGGAAATTTACAATTGCCCTCCTTCCCTACCCCTAGAAGTTTCAAGTGCACCACCTCCCCAGAGAAAAATATATGAAAGAAACCCTCTCTTCAAGTAGTCACATAACTATTATTTCTCTGCTGATGTAAGCCAACAAAATAAATGTGTAAATCTAAGAGCGTTAACCACTGGTTTAGGTTCGAGCCCTCTACAGACCGTGCTCAGCCGGAAATAACCGAGTGACCTGCAACTGTGGCGCTGCTATTCGTAGCGGTGATGACGTCATTGTCTTCAAGTAAGTTCTTTATTTAAAAAATAATAATAATAGAGATAGTTATTTTAATTTGATTTCAAACATAATTTAAATCAAACGAGGTAAATATTAAAACTTCTATTGGAAACATTAAATATCCTGAAATTCTTAAAGTTTTTAAATTTTCAACTTTTATCATGAAAAACAATTGCTAACATATTTTTTCTGTTTATGTTGTGAATATATTGCTATGTTGGTTTCAGCACATGCGACATTCGACAGAACGCGGGAAATTCAGGGAACAGTGTCATTGGTGTAGAAGTCTTTAAGAATGGAGATTTTGATTTCAAAACCAGAATATATCGACTGGGAGTTGGGCAGAAATATGAGGTGAGGCCAACACATGAGTAGGACGTATGGTATTTATATATGTGAAATATGGGAGTAATGGTTTTTAAAGAAAAAATCATAAATTTCGATTAAAAATATGTAATGAAAATCGCTTTTTAATTGTGTGTGTTTTCTATCTGACAAATTCTGATTTAAAGTTTACAAAGATTTAATTGTTTCTTTTGTTTTCAAGTAATCTATATATTGACTCCACCATGCATGCTGTACCCCACTGTGTGTTATGTTGGGGTCATCTAATCTAATATCCTGAATACATCATGTATGCTAAAATACATTGTGTTCTATTGCTGTCCCCAACTAATATAAAATCTTGACTACATCATACATACTGTACCTCATTCTGTGTTACATTGCTGTCACCAACTGATCTAATAACCTGACCACCCCCTCAGGTTGTACTGCCCATCGGCACCAAAGTGACTCTAGTCGCCACCAGGAAACCTTTCATGAACATCCACGTCCATGCATCATCAGCTGACTGGCAGAAAACTGAAGGTAGGCTCGTCGTGTTAGTTAGTGTGGTATGGTGGTGTGTGGTGTGGTGGTGTGGTGTGTGGTAGATGGTGGTGTGTGGTGTGGTATGGTGGTGTGGTGTGTGGTATGGTGTGGTGGTGTGTGGTAGATGGTGAAGTGTGGTAGATGGTGGTGTGTGGTATGGTGGTGTGTGGTAGATGGTGGTGGGGTGTGGTATTGTGGTGTGTGGTATGGTGGTGTGTGGTATGGTGGTGTGTGGTGGATGGTGGATGGTGGTGTGTGGTAGATGGTGGTGGGGTGTGGTATTGTGGTGTGTGGTATGGTGGTGTGTGGTATGGTGGTGTGTGGTGGATGGTGGATGGTGGTGTGTGGTATGGTGATGTGTGGTGGATGGTGGTGTGTGGTATGGTGGTGTGTGGTAGATGGTGGTGTGTGGTAGATGGTAGTGTGTGGTATGGTGGTGTGTGGTAGATGGTGGTGTGTGGTAGATGGTTGGATGTGGTATGGTGGTGTGTGCTATAGTGGTGTGTGGTATGGTGGTGTGTGGTAGATGGTTGGATGTGGTATGGTGGTGTGTGCTATGGTGGTGTGTGGTATAGTGGTGTGTGGTATATGGTGATGTGTGGTAGATAGTGGTGTGTGGTATGGTGGTGTGTGGTGGATGGTGGTGTTTGGTATGGTGGTGTGTGGTAGATGGTGTGTGGTATGGTGGTGTGTGGTGGATGGTGGTGTGTGGTATGGTGGTGTGTGGTAGATGGTGTGTGGTATGGTGGTGTGTGGTGGATGGTGGTGTGTGGTATGGTGGTGTGTGGTAGATGATTGAGTGTGTGGTAGATGGTGGTGTGTGGTAGATGGTGATGTGTGGTAGATGGTTGTGTGTGGTAGATGGTGGCGTGTAGTATGGTGGTGTGTGGTATGGTTGTGTGTTGTATGGTAGTGTGTGGTAGATGGTGTGTGGTAGATGGTGGTGTGTGGTATGGTGGTGTGTGGTAGATGATTGAGTGTGTGGTAGATGGTGTTGTGTGGTAGATGATGGTGTGTGGTAGATGATTGAGTGTGTGGTAGAAGGTGTTGTGTGGTAGAAGGTGGTGTGTGGTAGATGATTGAGTGTGTGGTAGATGATGGTGTGTGGTAGATGATTGAGTGTGTGGTAGATGGTGTTGTGTGGTAGATGATGGTGTGTGGTAGATGGTGGTGTGTGGTATGGTGGTGTGTGGTATGGTTGTGTGTTGTATGGTAGTGTGTGGTAGATGGTGTGTGGTAGAATGTGGTGTGTGGTAGAAGGTGGTGTGTGGTAGATGATGGTGTGTGGTAGATGGTTGTGTGTAGTAGATGGTGGTGTGTGGTATGGTGGTGAGTGGTATGGTTGTGTGTTGTATGGTAGTGTGTGGTAGATGGTGTGTGGTAGAAGGCGGTGTGTGGTAGAAGGTGGTGTGTGGTAGATGATTGAGTGTGTGGTAGATGATTGAGTGTCTGGTAGATGATTGAGTTTGTTGAAGATGGTGGTTTGTGGTAGATGGTGGTGTGTGGTAGATGATTGAGTGTGTGGTAGATGATTGTGTGTGGTATGGTAGTGTTTAGATGATTGTGTGTGGTATGATAGTGTGTAGATGATTTTGTGTGGTATGGTGGTGTGTGTTAGATAATTGGGTGTGGCATTAAGATGTTGTAGATAATTTAATTGTATGTGAATTTAAGAAGTGTTGCAAAAGATAGTGTGTGACACTAAATGTAGTGATATGATTTTGAGTGGCATCAAGTTGTGATGTTTGCGAAATTAATGTGTTGTATATGATTGTATACTAAATTACAATTCATAATCGAGGAAATACCTAACATATTCGGAAAATTTGACAAATCCAAGTTTTAAAATACCTGTGAATGTGTATCCCATAATTTTTTTTAATTGGTTAAAGCCTACGTATTTTAGTTATTGATCAAAAGCGTCTACTTCACGCGAACTTTTAAAAAATTATTTCTTACTAGGGTTGTGTGGAAGTTATAACGGAAACAGATTGGACGACTTGGACTATGTCCCGACAAATAGACCTGATGACTTCAACAGGAAATGGCTGTAAGCTCGTTGTTTATTCTTCATTGAAAATATGATTTAAATGTTTCAGATTTGGTGTATAAGTTTGGACGATAATATCAAATATATCTCAGTCTTTTTATCCTCGGTATATGAAGGGATTGCCAACACTTTTGCACTGCTGATTTTTTTTTCTATTGATTGGGTACTAATTAAAAGCTGAGACGTAAAATAACCTCGAGCATAATAATTGAACGCTCTACTTTCAACCACATAGTGATTGTTGCAGATTCTCCCGCGCTGGGATATCATATTAAATTGCTCTCATTAGTACTGTAGACGTTGTCAGACATTCAGTAGCGTAGCGAGGGGGGGGGGGCGGGGGGGGGACATATGTCCCCGGGCGCCGACCTTAGGGGGGCGCCAAATTGAAAGTTTGAGGGGGGGGGGGTGCAAATGAAAATTTCGAGGGGGGGGGGGGGTGCAAATCGAAAGTTTGCTCCTAAGGGGGCGCCAAATTGACAGTATGTCCCCGGGCGCCGGGAAGGGTCGCTACGCCTCTGCAGACATTGTCAGTCCATACTTAGACAAGGCTTTTATTTACACACTAACCTAGGGCGCATAAGCTAATAGATATACTGGACTGGAAACTCTACTGAAAGGAAAGTGATGGCATATAAAAAAAAACAACATGTCATTTAATCTGTTCCAGCCGCACAGATACCATCTTCAACGGCGTCCAAGCAATCACCAACACCAGCCAGCAGCCGACATATTGTATGTGTATAGCAGGTCAACAACCTGTTTGTGACGCGGGTCTGGATGTCTTCAAGTGTACGGGACTAGGAGCTAACCGTTAGTATTGTTTTAACTGATCTAGGAGCTAACCGTTAGTATTGTTTTAACTGATCTAGGAGCTAATCGTTAGTATTGTTTTAACTGGTCTAGGAGCTAATCGTTAGTATTGTTTTAACTGGTCTAGGTTGACTAGGAGCTAATCGTTAGTATTGTTCTATTTGGTCTAGTTAGCCGTTAGTAATGTTTTAGTTGGTCTAGGAGCTAAACGTTAGTATTGTTTTAACTGGTGTATGCGCTAAGCTTTATGTTTGTTTCAAATAGTCTATCAGCTTGACGTTTGTGCTGTCTCAGTTAGTTTCGAAGTTAAACATAATTGCTAGCCTTTAATTAACTACATTTTTAAATGTACTAGGTGAAGAGCGAATTGCTGCAAATGTTTTCAAATCAATTTGGTACATTTTTTTTACAAACTCCAAATCAATCATTGAATTGTTATCGATCTCTATCACCAGCCAATGACGTGACCGAGTCCCTGGTTCGTCTGGCCAAACCCCCACAGATCAGACAGTCCCAGTCACGGGCCAGACGGAGTGTCACGGTAAGTGTAGGCTGTAGTGCAGGCTGTAGAGGCTGGGTAAAATGGGCTTATGCCTCTAGAGGCTGGGTTGAATGGGCTTATGTCTATAGAAGCCTAGTTAAATGGGCTTATGTCTGTAGAGGCTGGGTTAAATGGGCTTATGACATTAGAGGCTGGGTTAAATGGGCTTATGTCTGTAGAGGCTGGGTTAAATGGGCTTATGACATTAGAGGCTGGGTTAAATGGGCTTATGTCTGTAGAGGCTGGGTTAAATGGGCTTATGTCTGTAGAGGCTGGGTTAAATGGGCTTATGTCTGTAGAGGCTGGGTTAAATGGGCTTATGTCTGTAGAGGCTGGGTTAAATGGGCTTATGTCTGTAGAGACTTGGTTAAATGGGCTTATGTCTGTAGAGGCTGGGTTAAATGGGCTTATGTCTGTAGAGGCTGGGTTAAATGGGCTTATGACATTAGAGGCTGGGTTACACTGGCTTATGTCTGTAGAGGCTGGGTTAAATGGGCTATTGTCTGTCAGCTTTTACAACCTCTTCAAACATCATGCTCAATGGCAGCAGCCAACAGTTTTAACAAGCGTATTGAAATACAGTGTAGTTTATATCTGAACTTGTTACTATTAAAGAACACATAATTATTCGTGTACAATGCTGTAATAAAATTTAAGAAGGATTTGTAAATTTTGTAAAAACACAACCCAGTCTCACCTATTTAAGTAGAGCTGTATTATTACAATTTTCTTGACATAAAAAAACCACATTCCTATATGAATAAAAGTAACTGTACTCACGCTTATGTTGACCAGACCTTCCTAGACGCGTCTGGCCCCAGGGAATTCACGTTTGATGAAGCACTTGACTACTGCAACAACGCCGTCTTCAACAGTTCCACACTACAGGCCTGCGCTGACCATCTGGACAGTTCCAACGTCACGGAGAGCATAAACAGCTGTGCTGAAGATCTGCAGGTGGGTTTAAAGTTCATCAATTAACAGCAGCGCCAATCTTGTGGTTTTAATTACGTCATCTACTTACGTTCGTTTGGTCAACAGGAAACTGGCGATGTGCTGTGGGCGATGTCACACATCAGCAACATCGGAGAGGAGTGTATGGCAACGGCTGCCCAGAACGAGACGGCCTGGGACGGTAACTCCACGGTACCTGGTCAGCCTAGAATGCCTGAGAGTATCGCCAGCGGTCTGTGCACGCAGAACTGTGGCGCTAATGGAACGTGCGTCAACTGTAAGGAATTGGCTCTGAGATAATCTGTCCTCAGAAATTTTGCCCAGAAATAATTTGCTTTGAGATATTTTGAACAGGGATAAATTATTATGTAACACACATATAACAGAGAGAGGGGGGGATAGAGCGAGAGATTGTGTAATTAAAACGTTATCAGTTCTAATAGACCCTAAATTTTACTTAATTTGTAAACAAACTCTGTACCAACAGCCATCTGTGTGTGCCTGAACAATTATACCGGAGCCCAATGCGATATTGCACCTGATACCAAACCTACAGTTTATCCATCTGTCGAAACTTGTGATGTCACGACATCCACCTGTCTTTCTGTCACCGTTGAAGGTGAAAACTTTGTCCCGTCACAGCATCTTACCTGCAGGTTTAGATACGTAACGGTAAGTCGTGTTAGCTGTATAGTTAGTGGGTGATATCTCAGGTTAACCGTCAGTTTAGTGAGTGATGGATCAGGTTAACCGTCAGTTTAGTGAGTGATGGATCAGGTTAACTGTCAGTTTAGTGGGTGATGTATCAGGTTAACTGTCAGTTTTAGTGGGTGATGTATCAGGTTAACTGTCAGTTTAGTGGGTGATGTATCAGGTTTAACTGTCAGTTTTAGTGAGTGATGGATCAGGTTAACCGTCAGTTTAGTGGGTGATGTATCAGGTTAACTGTCAGTTTAGTGGGTGATGTATCAGGTTAACTGTCAGTTTTAGTGAGTGATGGATCAGGTTAACCGTCAGTTTAGTGGGTGATGTATCAGGTTAACTGTCAGTTTAGTGGGTGATGTATCAGGTTAACTTAAGATTAGTAGTTATTAGGTTTATAACTACTTATTTGTTTATCGTTATCCATTTAGCTTTACAATGCAATATTATTACTGTGATTATGAATAAAGTACTTTATGTTCAGCAGTATCTTATCATTATAGATGTAGTTTGTGTTTAGGTCCGTATTTTGCTTTAATATATTAATATATATTAATATGTGTTTGATTTACATATACTTTCTGACTCTATATTAAATCTTTATACTACTATTTTTTTGCTTGTCTAGTTGGGCGACAAGGTGACTGACACAAATGAGGAGGTCATGGTGACCGCTGAGTACATCAGCATGTACCAGATAGGCTGTAGCCAACCAGGCAGGGTAGCACGTAGTGCTCGCATCACGGTGCTCAACAAAAATCTGGCCAGTGACCAGAGCTACTTGCACATTGTCAGCAAGGCTACATGCCAGGATTGTGAGCTGATTGAAAGGGGCAATGATGCCAACTGTACTTGGAAAGTAAGGGTTTTTTTTTGTTTGTTTTTTTTTTGGGGGGGGGGGTCAAATTATGCAACACTCCTAGGGTGAAGGTGGGAGGATGGGGTTTAGACTTTTCGACTATGTGCTCCATGGTGAAGTGGGGGTTGGAGACTGGTGATGTAGATATATTTCGTATTTCTTTAAAACAAACATAAATACAACATGTTTATTTACCTTAAAAATGTGGTTAATTTGGTGCTGGGGTGAGTGGTTAATATATTTTAGTGGGATTTGTGATTGTGTTCCAATAGGGGGAGGAGGTTCATGGCGTCAATCATGGACACCCCAAAGAGCATTACTCATTCATTTAGAATCAGAAACAGCTATACAAAAAAATAAACTAGCTAATTGATAGATAAATTTGATATATTGCGTGTTGAACATTTTTCATCATGAATGCTACCACTTTCCCATTGTTCAATTACCAGGCAGGGACGTGCGTCATTGACGGTCAGTGTTATGTACGTCATGAACAGTTCCCTGACGATAAATGCTACAGGTGTGACCCAGACCAGAGCACCAACAGCTGGACTAAAGTTTCAGGTAATTTTAGCCCATTGGGATTATACCGTTCTACTTTCAGATGTCAGATTCCCGTAAACGAATCTATGTTTACTTGCTGGCACAGTAAGACAATAAACCGATAACAAATCATTAGATGTATACGGAGACATGATTTCAAAACGTGTGTGTCGTGGTGTTCTATAATGGAGATAAGCCATGTGAAGACAGTAGTGTAAATGACTTTTTGTGTTCTAGATGATAATAGAGATAGAAAGATGAACCTCAGATAATAATGGAGATGCTACTATGTGCCATAGATGAGAATGGTGATAATGCGATGTGCCCCAGATAATAATGGCGATGACACCATCTGCCCCATATAAGAATGGTGATGACACGATCTGCCCCAGATAAGAATATTGATGATGCTATGTGCCCCATATAAGAATGGTGATGATGTACCAGACAGTAGTACAGTAATGAGTCAATCTATTTTCAGACCCAGCCTGCTACGTGACCGCCGTCCCCCTGTCCCCCACAGCCGAGCCCGAGAGTAACGACACAGCTGTCATTGTGCTGGGGGTCATCTGTGGAGTGCTCGGCCTTGCTGTGTTGGTCACTGCTATAGTCTTGATTAAACGTAAGGTGTCCAGGTAAGTCTAAAGGATTGGTTTATCTCAACATTACAAAAACATTACAATTAGAATTACAGACAATGTAGTGGTAAGCCCCGTTTCAGTGTATAAAGATGAATCTGAGTTTACTAAGTTGATAGATTCATGTTTATAGACGAAGTGGATTATCTTGTTAAGTGTATCTTTTTATTTTGGCATCTCCCCCCACATTTTATCTCTCTATTGTCATCTGGTGTGGGCAGTAAAAAAAAAAACCCTCCCCTTTCTCCCCCCCCCCCCCCACCACCTTGTGAAGCTGCTAGTACTAATGCTATGACAAGAACCACATTAGTAATTTAAAGGTTTGGTGAGGGGTGTTGTCACCAGCATGAACTCTACTGTGGGTGTCCATTTAGGTGATAGATTGGAACGTCCATAACTGACGTCACACTCCGGGGGGTGGTCAGACTTTAGTTATGAATATTACGAGGGGAGGGGGAAGTGTGACGTCACATTTTTGCATTTTAAGAAGTAATGTTTGAAATTGAATTTTTCCTGCATTTCTAATTTGAAAACATCTTTTTTGAGGGGGGGGGGGGGGAGGTGGAATATGTTAAAATATGACGTCATTGGATATGGTTGGTCGGGGGGAGGGGTGGCTTACTTTTCTGTGTGACAATGAAAGCGGAGGTAAAACTCATTAAAAATTATTGACGTCATTTCCGGACGACCCCATAAGAGTTTTTAAACAATGGTGTACAACTTGACCACAGGAAGAAGAAGATACTCCGGGCGCTAGGTGAGGACACGACGTACGACTCCAGCAGACAGCGCGCCATCAACACAGCAGCAGTGGTGGACATGGGCGGCGCCAGCAGAGATCCCTAAGGACTGGCCTTCTACAACCCCACCTCACCCAACAGCTGAAGCTCTCCACACAAGGAGGAAATACACGCATCACATTGGCTATAGTCTATTCAACATTTTATACTGCTATTTCTACAGTGATTGCCTGTTGTTTTTGTTGAGCTATGCCCAAAGACTATTGTTTTCTATTCAAATTATTTCCGTGATAACTTCTACAAATATATTTTTTATATCTTTATAAAAGACACCTTTCAACCAATGCTTCTGTGATCTACAAAACAAATCATTCCCCGGTTTCTATGCAATTTAAAATGTATAGCTAAAAATAAAACACCGCATATTATTGTATTTGCATGTTATAAGCATTAGTGATATAGTTTTGCATACATCTTAATTTCTATTTATTTACTTTTACTTTGTTAAGAAAGCTGTATAATTTCTTGTAATTTTTGTTTTACTTTTAACATCCCATAAGTTAAGATACAGATACTTCAGTATTTTTATTTTTTACACCACCAACTTGAGTTTATAGGAATACTAGTTTATAACATAGTTTTCATTCAGACAAAATAACAGAATAGCGTTACAAAGATAAGACCCAATCTATTGAATCCCCAAAGCTCAGAAACAAGACCTAATTTACTGACATCAAACAGTTGACAAAGTTTCTACTTAAGAAGACATTCCCTTATCTTAATTTTTCTAAGTAAATCTGCTTAACCCAAAATAAACTAAAGCAGACTAATTTAATAAAACAAATAATTACTTTTGCCAATGAAATATATTATTTATTTTATTAGAAGACAAGAATTTGTTTTATACTATATGTTGTGGAATTTTAGAAGCATTTTAAAAAAAACATAATTTAAAAAAATTGATATGAATGTAGATGTTGATTTAATAAACACTTGTTACTTAGGTTGAAAATGTTTTGGACAAAATAAAAGTAGCATCTAGAGCTAAAATACTGTAGTTCCTTGTGTGGGTTTATAAAGCAAATAACATAAAACAGGTATGTGGCCTGCACGTATGGATAAAATACAACGTGTGTGGTCTTAGAGTACTAGCACATATAAGCCCTACATGGCATAAAACATGTATGTGGTCTGCACGTATAGATAAAATAAGTCGTATGTGGTCTTAGAATCCTAGTACACATAAGCCCTACATGACATAAAACATGTGTGTCTTGGTCTTTGTGTCATCGTTTGTAGCAACTGAGTATAACAATATATATTTTGTACTCTTTAACAGTATAAATGTTGTACCACACAATGTCTGCCAGCTTAACTGTGCAGGTTCCTGTAACCCCCCCTCCCCCCTCCCCCACCAGTCCCAGACACCCGCTAGTTGTCCCAATCGTTATTCACAATCTGATAGTCGGTCACGGTGACCTGGTCCCATCCTCAGCTCTCACTGATATTACACATAATAATTGAGGTCCCGTGTTTGGCACTGTGTTCTTTGTACTTTGCCCTAACACGTTATACATCCACACACACATATACATACATACACACTCACACAGAGTCACACTGTTACGCTGCGCTGCACTCACCACCGTTGACACAGGCGAGTTAAGTCATATCTCTCTCCAGCTTCAAACGGAATAGAAATTGGTTTTAATATCACCATTTCAACTTCAAAGGGTTGTAGCCTATAAACAATTGTTTATTGAGTATAAGTGAAACAAACTTGGCAAATAAGCACCAGCGACAATAGAAGTGAGTAGTCCGGGTTTTTTTTTTTGAGCATGTCAAAGCAGAACAATTATTACGAGCCGACCCGCGGCGTAGCACACTCCGCTATTTAGTTATTTTATTTTCAGTAATTCATACTTTGTGAATTCGACACTGGCATTGCTGTGACTGAAAATATATTTGCTTTAAATCACTATCGTGAAAGACGATTATCCCCCCCAGTAGCGTAGCGAGGGGGGGGGGGGGAACATATGTCCCCGGGCGCCGACCTTAGGGGGCGCCAAAATGGGTTGGAAAAATAAATTGAAAGGTTGAGGGGGGGTGCAAATCGAAAGTTTGAGGGGGGGGGGGGGTGCAAATCGAAAAGTTTGTCCCCGGGCGCCGGGAAAGGTCGCTACGCCTCTGATCCCCCCTCCCTTCCCCCTCACCCCCATCCCTACACCGCTGATAAAAGTAGAACGTTCTCTTTACTAAGAACCATAATAAAGGCTTACCATCGAGGGCGGGGGGCAGGTGACATGGTATCCTCATCGAATAGGTTAGAATTTATAAACTGTAATTAATTAAGTTTTTGAAAGATGATTGATGACCAGAGTTTCTTCCAGGCATCTATTCGGAATTTGTTTGGTAAATATTTATTTTAACAGTGTCCGCACCCCCAGAAATTTTAGTTCGCCCCCCAAAAATTCTAAGTGCCCCCCGGAGAAAAAAGTCTAGAAAAGAAACACTGGTGATGACTTGCCACAGCAGGCTAAAATATTATAAATAGACCCAATTCAAACAACAATAATTTGTCTTTAATTATTAGTAATTAGATCTACCATGCCAGTCAGAATGTATTACATTTTTTTTCACTCGTTGGTCGGCTAATAACGTATTAAAATTTACTTTGAGAAATTTTAAACAAATATCCGATTCCGCTTCTGTCTATGGCCTAAATATTATAAATTAAACCTGTGTTATTTAGAAAACGAGTCAGCAGTTTAAAAAATAAATCCCGCCCGATGCGAAGTGCCCCACCGTCGCTACTGCTACAGTGCGGTACAATAGTTGGCTGAGAAAATATTTTAGGCCAAGTCTAAATCTATATCTATTAATTAGGCCTATGCATAATATTAAAAATCTAGATATTGACAAATAGCTTCACTTAGTGAAGTAATTATAAAATTGGCTGGCAAGAAACGAAGAGTAGATTAGAATGTTCACCGAACAACAAATGAATAAAGCGCTGTTTTTTTCAAATACATTTGATGCCAAATGAGATAAAAATATATGAATATATGGAAAAGAGTGTTATTATTTTGTGAAAGATTTACAAACAATAACTTGTAAACACACTACCCAAGAGTTGCACGTAGTTTACAATAATATTTAATATTTCAATAGCTAGATTAGCTAGGCATAATAAAAATGCCACTGGGCCTAGATTCTAGACTAGATCTAGCTCTGGTGGTTTTTAAATTGAGACCCAAATCGGCAAGTTAAATTTTCCTAGAAATTGTTCATTAAACAGGTAGACGGATGATTCAGGCTACAGGTAAGCGACCTACTTCCAGTAGATCTTGCCTTGATCCATATTAAACTGCGTGTTACTACTAGATCTAGATCTAGCATGCATTCCGACTAACCTAGATCTATAGTTAAAAATAAGGTCAATTTGCGCGAATCCATGGACGCTTGTTGAATCACTAGCTGCTAGCAGAACGATACTTAAGTTACTACTACTTTAGGGCCCTAATAAGTAATAGTAATAAAGGCAGGGTCTAAGCCCTAAGCCCTAATGGCTAATGACTCATTTAACTTAATTTATTCAGTTTATTTATCTAAATCTAGTAACTAGTGTAGCCCAAAGTAATCTAGTACTGACTAGTTGGACTAGCATTTATAATGTAAAGTTAAGCAATATTAATAGGCCTACTACTTAGGCCATTAAATTATCAGAGGTTTTTTTTTTAGGCCACTGCGAATGGTTAATAAATATTTGTAGGTTTAGGGCGTTAAGGAACTAGATAAAGTAAAAATTAGGCTGGCCTGACATAATGAAAAAGGCCCCCATATTATATATTGAATTATGCTGCTGTTGTAGTTTGGCTTAGAATCTCTAGGTAATTTTTAGTTAGCCTTACTAAAGTACATGCCAAGTTATTATTACAGGGGCCTAGGCTAATAATAATAATAATAATAATAGCCTAATTGTTAATTAGGCCAATGGCATGGCATAACATGAAATAGAGTAAATGCTACATTTAATATCAATTTTGACAATTAGGCAATAGGCCTACATTTATATTTACTATTTTAAAAGCCTTTTTAATTTATTTTAGGGCCTAGATACCATAAATTTTATGATGGTTTTCTTCTACGTTAAATTTGAGTACCAAAGTCTACTACAACACTACACTAAAAATAAAGCGGAGTGATCTCCCCTAATCTTTCTCAAATATCCTTGTATAAACCTGGGGGGATGGCAACTCTGGATATAGACATGATTTTTAAGCAAATTTTACTTACTTAAACTTTTAAAAATAGAATAGAATATGGTAAAGAGAAGAATTTCGCATCAAGTGAACAGCAAACAGTGTGTGTATATAATAGTGCGGAATATTAGTACTTTATAAATTTATATGCGTTTTTTGAGAAATCGGAAATAGCGAAAAGTACTACTTCCAGTACATGGAAATTACTCAAAATTTTGTCAGAAGGCAAATATTTAGACGTTTTACATACATATGAAATTGCATTTATCTATCTGAAACAGTACTCAAGTTATAGGCTTCTGAAAAACCAAAAGTAGAATAAGTTCCAGTTCCGGAAATTGCTGAAAAGTATATACAGAACAACAAACTTTATATATAATATATATAAAATTTCATCAACCTGGCTGTAACTGTACTCAAGTTATCGTGCTCACAGACACAAACACACACACACAGACATATGGTCAAAATGACTAAACTCGAGATCTTTGGAAATCTTGATTTTTATTTTTTGCACGATTACAATACTTCCTCTATACTGTATAAGAGAAAGTAAAAACAGCATATGTACACTAAATCTTTTAGGTGTATGTTGCCCCTTACCTAGTCTAGTTACCCTTTCAAACCTGTCAGTTCCTGGGTGAGATGAAGTAGAGTTCACCTGTTTTTGTGACCTCTGCATACCAACATAGATAGTATTAACATATGACATGAGTTTGGAGAGCTAATCAAACAATTCTAAATACTTTAAGATTGTTGTAGCATCAACTAGGTTTAAATCAAACCATAGTGGTTACAACAGCTGAAGTTATGGTTTTATTTGAGTGGGGAGGGGGGTACATGTTTTTTAAAAGAAAATTAAGCTTAAATAAGCAGTAAATAGAACAAGACCAGCAGCATATTAACTAGATCTATATTAAAACTTTACAAAAAGCTAATTACTAGTACTGCTGTTTGGCTTTTTTATAATTTTAATTATTTTTGGCATTAACAAAGTAGAATTCACGAGCATGTTCCTCTCTTTGCCTCCAAATTCCTCTTTTTAAGTATGACTGTTCATACTTTTGGTCGCCTGGGGTAGGAACGACAGCCAATAACACTATTATTATAATATTTTTAGTACTTTATACAAATCCTTAAACTACAATAAAATGCATACATAGAAGTAGAAGTTAGGGTTAGGTTAAGTTTTAGGGTTAAGATAAATTTGCTACTTTGGAAGAATTGAGGGTTCGGGTAAGATAAAGTATGAACTGTCATTACCAGTTATAATTCAATTTGAAAGTAGTGATAACAGTGACAAATGGTGGTAGGCATTACTCTTGGGCATAACAAAAACTGTAGTAAATGTGGTTTTTTTTTACAAGACTGATTGAAGCTATGGCTGATCAATGAATAATCTTCTGATTAAGATCTGGCTATAATAGGATGAGACAACAAATGTTACACAAAATCAAAGTCAGCTTCTGGGACTTGCCCTTATGGCATGGCCCCCAACAAATACCAGACACAATTTACAAGACTGCACTTAGTACTAACATGTATTCTGAGATCTGACCCTAAATCACCCCACTCAGAATTTTTTATATATGGGGCTATTTGTTTGCAATGTTGGTATAGTTATGGGCCTGTAATCATCTAAATGAAGAAGAAGCATATTGCTGTGTAATATGCAAAATTTAGCTATTTTGTATAGTATTGTCCCGTGTTTTTTTTTGTCTAGACCTAGTTGTAGGCAGGGGCATAGCAAGGGGGGGGGGTAGGGGGTGCGGACAGCACCGGGTGACACCATTTAGGGGGGTGACACCAAGGCAAAAAATAGCAAAATATATTGAGAAAAATGATAATTCCACTTAAAAAAGTGGTTAGTTAGAGTGTCAAATAATCTTTTAAGAGCAAATTTGACAAATCCCGACAAGGGTGGAAGGGGGGGGGGGGATGTGTGACACCATGACATAAACCTGCTCATGATAGAGAAAACATGCTACATCAAGCTGTATTTATAACCGCCTATAGATAAAAATCGTTAGTATTAAAAAATCGTTAGTATTATCTTAGCACAGTTAAAAGCAATCACCGTGGGGGTGACGAGGAGGTAGGGAGAGTTACATCAACTCAACGATTAAAAATTTGCCTGCGGTAAACGGTTAGGTTGAGTATCGTAATAACTTATATGTTGATGTATGGGGGAGGGGAGATAAAAAAATTAAAAACATTAAAAAAAATTGTGAATAAGTATACACATACTTACTTATATAAATTCAAATTTGGCAGGAAATAGAACACGGGGGCTACCGGTTGACCGCAAAGTCCATAAAGAGAGGATCAAAACTGACCTTGACTGACCTTATATGAGCTATATTATGGAAAAAAAACTTTTGACGAATGACCCCCCACCCTTTGATATTTTGTGAGGTCGTAGACCGACCCTGGAGGGTAACAAAAATACATTATTCCCTTTTGGATAAACTCCTTAGGGTTTTTAGATTTGTCTAGATACCATATTTTCATATATAAACAATTGTTTGTAAAAAGTACACAAAGACTACGTAATTTGGTATGTGTACGGGGGAGGTAACTTTTTAAGTAATAATTTCTAAAAATGTTTTTACTATTTTAAAGAAAAAACAAACATCACAAGACATAGCATTAGTTTAAATAGATATTTCGTAATAAATTAGTTATGTATTTTACTGATTTGTAAAAGTTAATTCCAAAATTGAATTAAATATATTATTTGATTTACACTTTTAATGAAGCCTTTGCAGTTCTAATAACCTAGGGAGTAATACGTTGGCGAATTCTCCACCAATTGTTGCATGACTTAAATTTACTAAAACAGTATAAGCTTAGGCCCTAAGCACTCCACATAACAGCTAATCACCAATTAATTAATCATTCAATTTCTCCAATTTTTTAAAACTTAAGCAAAGCTAGACAGTATGCCTACTATATATATATATATATATATATATATATATATATATATATATATATATATATATATATATATATATATATATATATATATATATATATATATATATATATATATATTTTTTTTTTTTTTTACGGGGGTTGGTGACACCATTAAGTGCCACACCCGACCTCGCTACGCCACTTGTTGTAGGATAAGAAAGACATGAAGGGTTGTTTATAAATGAGGCTGGGGGGGGGGGGGTGTTAAAGAGTCTTCGGACATTGGGTGAACTGTGGACCTATATAATTCAGGGTACTTTTTAAATTAAAGTTAGATTATTTAGACCTAATGATTTCTTTTAAATACTTTTCAGCTTGGGATTGCTCACAGCAGTTTTAATAATAATGGAGACTTTGACTTTGAGATTAGTATTTTTGCTTATTTTGCAAGGTTTCTTCTCAAAGACTTATTCAGAAGGTATTTTTAAAAATATTTTGTATATTTAAAAAAAACTTTTTTCAAAGGTATTTTAGTGATGGTTTTATTTTTAAGAGAACTTTATTAAGGAAGAATTATAGCTTTTATAATTGATAGTCTTTAAACTTATAATTAAATGCTAGCAAGTATCACACAGGTCTATTTACTATTTTATTACTTTGTTGTTTAATATTATTGCAAAAAAAAAAAATGTGATTTACTTTAAGGAATTGCTTTAATTACAGGCATTAACTTTAAACCAAAATTACAGACATCTTAATTCTAATTTTTTTCTTCCCATTGAAGAAAATTTTCCACCTGAAATATTTACCATATTGGCCAACACATTCATCCCTGTGTCTCTAAAACCCATAGATGGGCTGTAGAGTAGGTCAGTCTCCACATCCTAAACCCTTTGCCTGCCTTTTGGCCTTAAACATTTGTGGTTTTTGTTATACGCTGCATTCACCCTTCTTCTGTTTGGCATTTTTTATAGATGACCTAAGCATCATAGTTTTCCTTTTTTTAAAAATTAATTCTGCACCTATTGTAAGTTGTTTGTGTGTCATATATCCCTTTGTTGGCTTATCCACGTTGGGCAATATATTTCTGTTGATACTGTAAGTATTCAGGTTTCACTGGCATGTATTAGTACTAATCTTTTTATTGTTTTATCTATTTTCCTTGTATCACCAGTTCATAAACCTGCTAATTGTCATCTGCTTAACTTTGTACTATTTCATTGTTAATTTTTAGATTTAATAAGCTGTGAAGATTCGAAAATTGATCTGGTCTTTGTGATAGACTCTTCCACAAGTGTGGGAGAAAGCAACTACCAGCTGGGAAGAGATTTTATGAAGGACCTGTTGCTTGTGGCTGACATTGACAACGGCAATGTCAGGGTCGGTGCTGTAGTCTTCAGTAATGCAGCCTATATCCAGTTCCACTTGGACAAGTACAAAACCAAAGCTGAACTGTTTCAAGCCATCTCTGCCATCCCTTACATCTCAGGCTGGACCAACACTGCTGATGGTCTAAGAACAATGAGGACGACAATGTTCAGTCCTGCACACGGAGATCGTCCTAATGTCCCCAACATTGCTGTGGTCATCACAGATGGTCAGTCTAACACCAACAGGGAAAGGACAATCCCAGAGGCTGAGGCTGCTAAAGACCAAGGCATTCAGATCTATGCTATTGGTGTTGGCGCAGGAATCACTGAGGAACTTAACAACATTGCAAGTAAACCTGTAGATGATTTTAGATTTACAGTTCAAGATTATAAACAGCTGAAAGATTTAAAGCAGAAACTTTTTTCTGCTATTTGTAAGTATTACATTACAAAACATTGCATATTTTTGTCTGTTGTAGTTGTAGCATTTGTTTAAAAAAAGAAATATTATTAGATTTAATTCCAGTATTGTAAGTCTTCAATCTGGGTTTAATAAAAATAATAATACCCTTAACATTTTTCTTAATTCAACCTTTTATGATTAGTTTGTCTTAGTTAATGGTTTAAGTTTTCCTGTTACTCAAAATGAGTAATGGTAGTGAAAAATACATAATTAGTTAAACATCTTCACACTACTTTTTAACAAAATTTTGCTCAAATTGAGTATTTGTAAGTTTCTCAAATAAATATTGGATATTACATATTTTTTCCCATCAGGTGCGGCATTACCACCAGTTACAAAAATACCTACTACACCAAAACCGGTTGTGATTAGTAAGCTTAATTTCAAATAGACTAGTTTCCACCTAGTTTACAATTTTCTTTTAAATTGCAGTTTTGGTTGTTAAAATTTACTTTACACTCAAACTTAATAATGAGCTAAACTTAAATATAAATTCCAAATTTTTTCTATTTTGAAATTTTTTTCTTATTTGCTGAATTTGTTTTTTCTCCAGGACGTGTGAACACCAGGTTTGATCTAGTGTTTGTACTTGATGCCATTTCCAGTGTGTCTAAATCTAACTTTGATCTGATGATAAAATTCATCAAAGATTTCATCTATGCAGACGATATTTACAATGAAAATGTTAGAATTGGTGTTGTCACAAGCAGTAACAGTCATATCCAGTTCCATCTTGACAAACACAGAACTAAAGATGACATCATCAATGACACAGACGCCATAGCCTATCCACCAAATGACAACACCAACACAGCAGATGCCATTAGAACAATGACAGCCATGTTCAATGAGTCAAATGGGGATCGTTTAGATGTTGATAACATCGCCATAGTACTTACAACTGGTGTTTCCAACAGTCAAAACATTCAGGCAGAATCTGACGCGGCCAGAACACAGGGCATTCATATCTTTGTTGTTGGCATTGGTCTAAGGGACACCACACAGTTGGATGTTATCGCCAATAAACCATTGGACCAAAATAGATTTACTGTCAAAGATTTTACAGATCTTGAGGACCTTAAGGAGAATGTTTTTTCTGCTGTGTGTAAGTTTTTTTTTTCAGATTGTTAATTAATACTATAGTTTTAAAACAAATTACCTCAAAAGTTCACCCGTAAAAATAATCAATAATTTTTTTTACAATGATTGCTAATCCTGTATCTACACAATACATATCTGATCAGTGATTACTGTTGGTTGACTTGTACCAAAGGATTTAGGTTGGGGTTGCTCTTATAAAGCTTATATTTATATTATATTAAATATATAATTGTTAAGTTACCCTGCTATAGTTATATTGATTACTGTCGTTTTATAAGCTTTTATTTAGTTCACAGTGTCTGTTTGTGGCTATTGGCAAATTTTGTAACTCAATTTCGAATCGTATCTTTCTAATGCAGCAGTTTTATTCAAACTTTCCAGTTACATTTTTTGTCTTTGATGACAATGCAAGAATTTCTATTTTTTAATTTTATTACATGTTAAATCAGTTATGTTAAATCATGTTAAAAATTATTGTAAAGATTTTGAAACTAAGGTTGAGATAACATGATTAAATACTAGTGATTGCTCTATCAGCTGGCCTTTGACTGTGAACTGTTTGGTCATGGTTGGCCGCTGTCCTGCCCAAGACAACAAGCAGATAATTGTCTTTAAAAGATTGCAATAAGGGGTTTTAACACAAATATTTTTAGTTGTGGCCTACTTAATTGTGTCAACTTAATTTAGAACATATTACTAAAAAGTGAAAAATAAAACAAAAATAAATACCTTTTTAAAAACAAGATTTTAATGCACAGGAAATAAGAAAATAAAACTAATATGCTTTTATTTTAAAAAAAAAAAGCATTGATCGCTGAAACATATAAGATCTCATGAGAGACTAAAGCTTTTATTAAAAAATACAAGTTCGTTTTATTTTCAGTGCAATTATTATAAAGGTTTTTAATAATTGTTTTATTTATCTGTATTATTTTATTGCCCAGTTCAAGTTGTTTATTTTTAGCTAAGCTTTAAAAATTTCTGTTAACACTGTGATTGGCACGAATTTTGTGGTTTATGGAAACTGTTTATGGCAAAATATCCAGCTCTTATCTCTTATTTTATATCTATCAAAACCAGAGTTTTTAAGTAATTTATCAAAATATTTATTTCGTGTTTATTTTCCAGTAACCCAGATGCTGGAAAATAAAAAGAATTTAGACAACTGTCCACTTGAGCCCACTTCTGTTCATCTTGAAGTAGCAACTGATATACAGGGAATTGGAAAAATCTCTTGCTCCTTAGCTGAACATCCTCCAGATAAAGTTCAGATTAGATTCTTCATTACAGTGTTTGGTGAAGAAACAAATGCTGCACAAGTGGTTAATTCTCCTGAGCGAACTTGGACAATACCCTTAAGTGAATTAAGTGGAGAAGATAAAAGCTTATTTGATAAAAAGGTAAAAATCAAAGACAGTTAAATTCATCATTTTTAAAAGTTAATATTGATAACATTTCTCATACATGTTTTTATCCATTCTATAGATTTACTGTATTGGAGAAGTAAGATTTCTCAAAGGGGAATGGTGTCACACTAAAGGCAGCAATGTTATTTCACCTGCTATTATGGTAAGTGATATACGCTATAAACTCTAAAGGAAGAGAAGTCATTCCACTTGCTATTTTTATTAGGAGCAGCTTAAGAAATATGGTACAAAGTTTGTGAGCAACTAAATATCTTTTATAAATAGCAATAAATTTGTTCAGTTTGAAATATCACAATATTTGAAATATAAACTTTGTTATTGGCAGATGTAGTCGTTAATCTTAATCACTTTTAGATTTTATTTAAATTATTACCCTTGGGTTTAGATTACAATGATAAATATAGACATTTGATATTATGTGATATCTTTGCATTGCGGCTAAAGGGTATTGCAACTCTAAACGCTACATTTTGCTAACACATTTATTTAATTGAAATTAGAAAAGATATCTTCTAAAATATTATATTTAACAGGTTAAATTCATGGTTATACATAATTATTTAGTATAATTCTATAACTGATTAAAATTAACATTTTGGGATTATAAACCACACACAATGTTTGTTTTTAGAATTTGTTTATTGTTTAAAAGTTTCAGTCCTTAAAATAAGGAACTTGTTTTCACACTTGTCTAGTGCCCTGCACCAACACAGATCAAGTTAGTTGAGGGTCAAGGTTATCAGAATGTACTGGTCAAGCTCACAGCTCCACCGGCTTTCTTCTGTGTTGGTAAAGATGGAGGTCAGTGTGAACTAGAGGTGGTTATCAACACTGTTGTACAGAATAATGAACTAAGGTCAGTGTGAACTAGAGGTGGTTATCAACACTGTTGTACAGAATAATGAACTAAGGTCAGTGTGAACTAGAGGTGGTTATCAACACTGTTGTACAGAATAATGAACTAAGGTCAGTGTGAACTAGAGGTGGTTATCAACACTGTTGTACAGAATAATGAACTAAGATCAGTGTGAACTAGAGGTGGTTATCAACACTACAGGATAATGAACTAAGGTCAGTGTCAAATAACTTCACTAGATTTAGTCATACCCATCATATTTTCTTAAGATCAGGCTTGGTTGAATGGTAAAACTCATGATTGTTTGGAGCTTGTATCCCAGTCTTGAGTCAGTGGGGTTTGTCTGAGTCCACCCAGCTCTGATTGGTACCATCCGAGCATAGTGCTGACCTCGTTATCCACTGTGTGCTGAGGTCATTGAAATCACCTCATCTACCTCATGAGTATTAAGCACTAGCAGAAAAAGATGAGATTATATTTGCTTGGGTATGGGATGACATGGTCAAGTGGGTAGAGCAAACAATTGTTAGCCCTAACCTTTAAGTTCAGTTCTTAGGCTAAAGTATGCAGGACAGCCCTGAATATATTTAACTCTGATAGGTACCAGACTTGAGTTAGGGAGGCTAAAGCAAGCTGGGCTTAGTGTTAGGGAGAGTAAAACAAGCTGGGCTTAGTGTTAGGGAGAGTAAAACAAGCTGGGCTTAGTGTTAGAGAGAGTAAAGCAAGGTGGGCTTAGTGTTAGGGAGACTAAAGCAAGCTGGGCTTAGTGTTAGGGAGAGTAAAGCAAGCTGGGCTTAGTGTTAGGGAGAGTAAAGCAAGCTGGGATTAGTGTGTACTTCATAATACTTACATAACCACATTCAATATAATCTTGAACTCTATCAGCTCCATACCTAAGTGTGTATTCTTACTTCTTGCTTGATTAATACATGAAGGCAAATCTTTTCTTCTTACACTATACACACACTACATTTTAAAAAGAACATCTTTAAAAAATTGCAGGTGCTCTAAAGATGAAATAATCCCTCAGATTGTATTTGGAATAGATAAATGTACCCTGAAGTTCACTAGATCAAACTGGAAAAATGGTATAACCATCCCAGTCAAGGCCAACATTGATAGAATCCTGGATGGGGATAGAGTTGTTACAATACAAACTACTGTCAAATTCACTGGTTTGGTAAGCTCCATTACCATCACTTCACATTTTTAATAGACGGACCAAGATTTTAACAATCATCACCTATTATCCTGTTGCATGGTTTTTATTGTCAAACCAGAATAGCTGTAACCAAGACTCTGATTGTTAAAACAAATTTCCTGCAGGAAAACACAGAGGAGAGTTGTCCTGATATACAGGCCACTGTTGTTGATAGGGACAAAGCTTCCAATTGCTATTCCGTCAATGATCCACATATTGCAACATTTGATAAATAGTAAGTTGGTTGCAAGAAAATATTAGTTGACTTTTAATAAGAAATATTATTGAATACCTGTGCCAAAATTTAGGAAGCGACCTGGGCTTTTTAAAAATATTTATTTAAATAATGGTGCATTATAATATATTTAAAGAAAAATATTTATTTTCTACCTTTAAGTGCTTAATTATATAAAAACTTGTTATTAAAAAAAAAATTTGATTTTTTAAAAACTTTAAAAAAAATTTTTTTTTTTAATTTTTTGAAAATTGTAATTGACTTTTTACACTTAACATTTTGAAACCATAAATAGATTTATATTTAATCAATAAGATCAATGAGTTTTAACAAGGTTTTTTAATGCGCTTCCTCTGTCTGTCTTGCTTTTATTGCCTTGGATTTAAAATTAGCGAGTGAGGTTTCGACCACTTCTAAACGAAAAATTTCTCTGAAGCTATAAAATAAAAGTGTGGGTCACATCTTACATTCTAGTGAAAGTAATCAGTGCATAATATAATGACCCATGCTTTTCTTTTAAATAATTTAACTAGCAGCTCAATATTATATTTAAAGAAAATCATTATTTTCTCCTTTTAGTGCATTATTATTATATGAAAGCTTGTCATTAAAACTTTTTTATGAATTTTTTTATGTCTGTTAGTCTGTGGTCTGAAATTTAGTTACTTATTGATTTTCAATAAAATCTAAATTAATGTTCATCTTGTTAATCAATTAGTCAGTATTTAAAATATGCTGTTACATTGCACTTTTTTTCTACCTGATTTTTAAAAAAATCAGTATTTTAATCTGTTTTTATTGTGTCTGATTTTGTCACACTTAACTGATAACTTTTTGAATACAAATTATTGTGTTATTTAGTAACTATGACAACCAGCTTGAGGGGGAATTCATTCTATATAAGCACAAAAATCTACCTTATCAGGTGAATTTTCAAGTTTCACATAACCTTTGAGATTTAAATATTAACAGCATCACATTTTTTTTGTCCAAATATTTTATCAGTATTCATAAGCGCTTTAACAGAAAAAATGTACAGAAAACTATATATAAATTTTATTGAGAGCTCAGTCATAACATATACACATTTGACATTATAACTTAAGCAGTAATTAACCTAGATTCCACTAAAAATAATAACAAATGACCACAATTATTAATACTGCAGGTAAATGTGGACTATCGGCCATGTGTGCCACATCTGCAAACAGCCACATGTAATTGTGCAGCTGCAATTCAGTCGGGCAGTAGTGTCATTGTTTTCAAGTAAGTTTTCAGTAGTTATTTTTATCTACCTATTAATATAAATAGTACATTTATACTTGAAAAACTTATGGATTCACATTAGACATTGCTTGTGTATTTTGAGTTCCACAATAAAAATCTCAGGATAAAATATTGTAATGTAAGTTTAAAAGATTTCAGAAACAAATGTTTCAAGACAAATTTTTTTTAATAAAAATGTTGCTATGCTATATTATATATTTTGAAATATAATGAAAATTATGCTATTTCCCTTTGCATGAACTCTGTTAAGTAATGGTTAATTTATAGCATATCATTCGCATTTAAGTGCTGGTAGGTTTTACATATAAAATTGTTGTCCTTTTGATCTCATATCTGATGCTCTTGTGTAAAAGAACCCCCTTGATCTCATATCTGATGCTCTTGTGTAAAAGAACCCCCTTGATCTCATATCTGATGCTCTTGTGTAAAAGAACCCCCTTGATCTCATATCTGATGCTCTTGTGTAAAAGAACCCCCTTGATCTCATATCTGATGCTCTTGTGTAAAAGAACCCCCTTGATCTCATATCTGATGCTCTTGTGTAAAAGAACCCCCATGATCTCATATCTGATGCTCTTGTGTAAAAGAACCCCCTTGATCTCATATCTGATTCTCTTGTGTAAAAGAACCCCTTTGATCTCATATTACAGCTCCTGTGATGCAAAGACTGTCAGACAGGATGCAACAGCCATGGACATAAAGATTTTTTCTGATGGGGAGTTAACTCCTGGCACTAAAGTTAGACAACTGGGTGGCGGCCAGCAATATGAAGTAGGCTATAATAATTAATTTGATCTATTACTGAACATTTACATTGTAAATTATAATTTACTGGTGATAATTTACTTCATTCTTAATATTCTCCAACACTATTTTTTTTTCATCCTGTTTTATAAATTAAGGATAAAAATGTCTATAGAGACAAAATCCTCTATTTCCTGATGATAGGTCCAGCTCCCTACTGGAACAGTTGTAACTGTCATGCCCAGTCAGGCTACCTTCATGAATGTTTTTATCACAGCTTCACCCGCAGATTTTAAAATGGTAGAAGGTAATTCACAATTTTACATTTTGTATTTTTATTGTACACCTCATTTAAAATTATTCTATTTTTTGCATCTAATTTTATTTTATGCTACTTATATTCATCTTTTTTTACATTGATTAGGCATGTGTGGAAATTTTAATGGTGTTAAAGATGATGATGTAGATAATCTTTCAGTAGACAACTTTAACATCAAGTGGAAGTGAGTGGAAATCAGAGAGTAGTTTTCTTTTTAACATACACATTTTTAATTTTTTCATCTTTGATTTAATTTTACTTATATTTTATTTTACTTTATTTTTAAATATGAACTTAATAAATAAAATTCTTGAAAATGAAGTTAGAATTATTTTTTTATGTGCTGCCAGTAAGACATTTCATTGTTAGTTTACTTGATTGAAAACACTGAGCATGAATTACACTTCTGAGTGAACCATGTTTTATGTCAGGGTATTTGTACAGTTAGAAATTTTTAAAAATTTGTATTAAAATGTTGTTTTTATTTACCAGGGCTACAAAAACAATTTTCTGTGGTGTGAGTGTCCTGTCCAATGATTCAGCTGTCCAGTCTGCCTACAGTAGCTGTACTGGAGATTCTCATCCAGTTCTCAGCTCAGATGTGGATGTGTTTCGGTGCTCATCGTCAGATGTTGATTGTAAGAAAAGTTTACTGTGTTATAATGATTTCTGTCTGATTATAAGAAAATAATTGGGATGTGTAATGTTGATTAACATCTAATTGTAAGAAAGAATTGGCTTTAGAAAATATTGGTTGGTACATGTTAAGAACTAAAATCTTTATAAAAAAATTGTGTACACCTTATATGACATTCTAATGAAGAAAGTAAAATTTCTAATGACAATCAGTTACAACAACTATTTACATTTAAATAAAACACTCTACATTATTTTAGGAATATCTTTAGTTGTATTTTGTAGAATAACTTCTTTCCTGTTATTATTTCTTCATCACAGCCAATGAAATAACTAAGAAGATCCCAGTTTTTAAGAATTCTGAGACCACATGTAAACAACTGACAAGGAGAAAAAGACAGGCAGTAAGTCTTTAGAAACAATAACAAACTAGACAACACAAATTTTAATTTAAGCAAATTAGTTCCTATAAAACTTAATTTTAAGTTAATTTTATTTTACCAGTACAAAACAAAATTAGTTTTAGATTCAAATTTCATCACATTACTTCCCGGAATACGATCAGCCTATTCTTTAACTCTTCAATTGAAATTGACAATTAGATATCTCAAAAAAAATTCAGCTAATAACGGGACGTAATGAAGTCAAATTTTATTTTAGATATTGATGCTTTGAATTATTTTTTTCAAATTTACAACATAATTGTTGATCATCACCATAATGTGTAACTACATTGAATTGTCTCACCCAGTCTGTACCAAATCCAAGCCCAACAAAGATGACATTGACTGAAGCCCAGCTAAACTGTTCTGGTTACCTGGAGTCTAGTGCAGTGGTTAAAGCATGCACTGAGCAGCTCTCTAAAGAAAGAGTTACACAAAGTGTGTCTGAATGTGCTTATGATCTAATGGTAAGCCTGGCATTGTTTGTGTGAGAAATAAGTTAGTTTTAGATTTGTTGTGTTAACACACTCCAGTCTCAGATACTTGTTATAATATGATAATTGGCGATGAGAGATGAGTTATTTGTATAGTGAATTAATAGTCTTAAGGTAGAGGATGTTATATGGTGGGGGGCTGTATATTTGAGTATGTTCACTGCACTGTAGGCGCAAATACTAGGTATTTACTTACCTGATTTTAATAGGCACACAAATTATGAAGATAATGATGGATGATGACTATCTTTCTTAATTCTTTTACTGTAGACTATGAAACAGATGCAAGTGCAGTCTATCAGTTTTTGAAACTTTTAAAATTATAGTTGTTTAAATTTTGTAAAAATAATTATCAAATTTAGGTTAGTAGTTATAAGTTGTAAAAACACATTTTCAAATACTAAGAAAAACAAGGAGACGTACATGAAAGATGACACAAGAATGGTGGGCATAAAAGGTGGGATATAGAAGGGGGCAAGAAAGGTGGGATACCACTGTGTGCATTTGGAGACATGTCCAGACTTGCAACTGGAAAACCTCATGTCAATGGCTTAATATCCACTGTTGCTAAACCTGACTGACAGCCTAACTTGGCACTAAATACTTTAACATTCATTTTGGTTCTCATCACCACCCATTTTTCCCATTCATTCCCAAGACACATGTTAGTTCTGGCAGTTTAAAAAGTGATATAAATTAAAATTTCATCAACAACAGAGCACAGGACTGTTTGATTGGGCTGTGTCACATGTTAGTTCTAGCAGTTTAAAAATGTTATATTAAAATAATTTTTTTTTTTTATAAACAACAGAGCACAGGACTGTTTGATTGGGCTGTGTCACGTGTTAGTTCTAGCAGTTTAAAAATGTTATCAATTAAAATTTCCTAAACAACAGAGCATATTACTGTTTGATTGGGCTGTGTCCCATGTTAGTTCTAGCAGTTTAAAAATGTTATAAAATAAAATTTCATCAACAACAGAGCATAGGACTGTTTGATTGGGCTGTGTCCCATGTTAGTTCTAGCAGTTTAAAAATGTTCTAAATTAAAAAATTTCATCAACAACAGAGCACAGAACTATTTGATTGGGCTGTGTCACATGTTAGTTCTAGCAGTTTAAAAATGTTATAAATTAAAAAATTTCATCAACAACAGAGCACAGGACTGTTTGATTGGGCTGTGTCACATGTAAGCAACCTGGCAGAGGAGTGTATCACACGAGCTGAACAAAACCAAAGTTCATGGACAGGTGAAGGTGACACACCTGGTGAACCTGTATTTCCTCAAGCCATTGTCACCCAGCTGTGTGTCAGGGACTGTGGGGACAACGGACATTGTGTCAACTGTAAGTTTTCTTTATCTGTAGTTGACATTTTTTTTTACTGGTTAGCTGAAATTTACTTCTAATATTCTATTTATTTAATTAGTTTCTAACTTTTATTAACTAAAATATGAAAATATTTTTTTTATTTCTCATAACACTTTGTATCACCTTCAAGAAAATGTTATGAAACATTTCCAGTGTTTTGTAAATGTGAGAACGGCTATTTTGGAGAAAGTTGCCAGTTTGGACCAGATACTGTACCATATATTTTTGGAGCAGAAAAAACTTGTGACATAGAAGAAACAAATTGTAAGACTGTGTTACTATCTGGAGATTACTTCAGCTCATCAGAAAAGTTCTCTTGCAAATTAAACTTTGCCTCAGTAAGAAAAATACTGCATTCCATTTATTTTAAATATTTTTCTAGTTTTAAATTTTTAATTTTACAAACCTATTATTAGTAATTTTCATTAAAATATAGATCTGTTAGATTTCTCGAGGTTTTATTTATTAAAGATATTTAAGACAGCTAGATCTTTTTCGTTATTACAAAACAATATGCTGTTAGTTATTTAGCTACCTGTTGTATTTCTGCTGTATTCTCTGCACATGTTTGTTGTACTTGAACAGATTGACACAACAGCAAGAAAAACAGAGAGCAGTGCTGTAGTGAGAGCAGAGTACATCAGCATGTACCAAGTTAGATGTACACTCCCTACACGACGCAGTGCCTACATCACCGTCACAAACGATGGCGTCCGTCAGAGTGAAAATGTTTACCTTCATGTTGTCCACAACTCCAGCTGTCAGACTTGTGTCATCAATGACAACAAAACTGATGTGCATTGTACTGTAGCAGTAAGTTAAAAATTAAATTACTTCCCCTTGTAAGAATATGAATTCATGAACAGCTTGGAAAGAAATGAAAATTAAAGAAATTGTCATAACAAAAAAGTATTCAGAAATTTTGAGAAAACTATTCTTTATCTATAAATTACTCATAGATATGTTAGTTCTTTAAAGAATAAACTTTTTCGCTTGAAAATATTTTTTATAAACTTATGAGGGCCATGATACAAAAATACGTTTTTCAATTTCCCAGCTATTTCATATATTCTGCATTTATTCTTTTTTAAATGATAAAATCAGGTGTAATTATCATTAAAAATTCTGAAAGATATTAAAGTTTTATGTCAATTGCCATAAATATATTTATTATTATAGTGAATACTTTTTTAAAAGTAAAATTAACTGAAATAATACGCGTCTTATTAGTTTACCACTTATATCTGTAAAACAAACATTATGTTGACAAATTGTTACATTTCTTTTTATAACAGAACAGCACATGTGCAATAGATGGACAATGTTATTTTCAAAATGAAGAAGACCCTGATGATTCTTGTAACATCTGTGATGCCAACAGTAACATACACATATGGACTAGAAAAACTGGTATATGTGGCATGGTCTTATCATGCTTGTATATATGATAGTGTCTCATAAACAGTATCCCATATTTAGGTTTTAAATTATTTTAAAAACTTAATTTTATTTTAAAAATGATACAAAACTAACACAGATCAATGTTATTTTTTTTATATGTATTCGAAAAACAAATAGTGCATCAAAACAAATAATTTTTAATATGATTTTTTTCTTCTTTTAGATTGCAGTGACAGCCTTTCTAAAACAGCAATCATCCTGATCACAGTGTTCTCTGTTCTGATTGTGTTGGCTGTTGTCATTGCTGTGTACTACGTTTATAGGAGAAAGAAATGTTTCACCTGGAGCACAGAGACAACAGCAGTAAGTGATCAGTACGTGAAGGTCTCTCTCAAAGACACAGAGGCCTCTGAAGAAAAGATTTAAAAAATCTAGGGTCTCACATACCAGAGCCAGGCATTCAGAAACCTGTTCACTAGAACTTAACACACTAAATAAAGCAGCTTGGTGCATTTTTATCAATCACCTACAAACAATTCATTGACATTTCTGATAGCAATTATCAGAATCCATAAATTACATACTCATTTAAAAATCTAAAAATAACCTTCTTGATATTGTCTTGAATGTAAAATGTCTTCTTCTGGACTAGTCTTTTTTTAAACAGAGATTATGTATTTAGGTTGTATTTTTTTGTTTGTATTTTTTTAATGTTTATGGCACTCAGTTTGAATCTTTGACTTTAGTGATGAGTATAGCTACATGGGTTTTTGGTATTTGTGGGCTGTTATTACATTATACATCCTTTTATACAACAAAATAGATTGCTTTATTGTTATAAAATGCCATATTTAAACAATGCCTTATTTGAATATAATATTTTTTTTTGTGGGACTGTAAAATGGCTAACTTGAATGTTTACTGGAGATTTACTTCTGGTAAAATAATTGCTTTAAAAGATTTTTATTTAGTGGAAATCTATGAAAAAACTTAACGTGTTGAACTATTCTAAAACATTCCTCTATATACCTTTGTGGTCAACATTATGCTGTTTATTTAAAATCTAAACTTTTAAAATTTAATTTTAAAATATATTTTTATATAAAACTTTGCCTACATTTAATATAATAAATTTACACAAGTGATAAATGGTTGTGGCTTGGTATGTTAAATGTTTTTTCTCAACTTTCAGTGTTTTTTATCTGCCTTAAAATTTTATATTTTTAACATAATAGATACATGTTATTTTCTGGTATTTTTAGCCATAATGGAAATGTATGCATTTATTTCATTTTCTGTGTGCCTTTTGAAAAACTACAAGTCATTGACGTACTAGAATAAACCCTTGAAATTTTAAAACTTCATACATCAATGTTGTGTACAAGCTCAGTTCCTCAGAAGAACCCATGGCTTGTCATATTTTTCAATGTTGTTAGAAAACTTAAGCTTTTTCTCTGGCATATTTGAGGGAATAAAAAATGGCACCGTCTGGTTGTTACTTGCTTAATCCTAGTCACTCCTGGAGTATAGGGCATTCCATTCCATCTGGGCGAGCCACTTCAGTTCACGCCAGGTCTTGCCAGTAGCCTGCACTTCTTTTTTTCATCTCTCTCCTCCATGTTCCCAGAGTCCATTTCAGCGCTATGTTCGGGAGTCTTCTGTTCACGCGAAGGACGTGACCCAGCTAACTCCATCTCCTCATTCGTATTTCTAAGACAATGTTTTTAGTGCATTATACATACACGCTTGTTATTATAACGTTTTTTTATGCAATTTTTTTTCATTATTTTAAACTTTTTAATACTTTTTAATGAACATGAAAATGCGCTTATAATAGCGCGGTAAAAAGTACTTTATATGAAAAGTTTTAATTAATTTGTAAAAAACTAATTAGGCATCACATAAAGTCAAATTTGATGTCAGATTGCATTGTCATCGGTTTTTGACCCACGTGCCAAGTTAAAAATTTCGCTCGGCAATTTCTATCCACGATGTACAATGCACAACAGACAGATAGACACACAGACAGAGGAGCCAAGTTAAATAAAAGATTGTAAAAATGTCTATATCCTGATTGTACTGGAGTTTCCACCCCCCCCCCCCCCCCCCCTTAGTGTTATATAAGAATGCTTGAGAAAGTTTAGGGGAGATCACCCCCGCTTTTTTAAATAGAATTCTTGTTTAAATTTATTTTTTTAATGTAATTCCAGAAAGTTTTCAAATTGTTAACCCATGAGATGGGAAGTGAAATTTCATGTTGTTTTTTTATACATGGAAAAACTACATATAAATCTTGGATTTTTTTTCTCCAAATTTGTTTACAGTAATAAACATGTACTAAATTTGCCAGACTTATTCTGTTTTATTGTTCATTTAATATAAAAATAATGTATTGAAACATGGTTGATGTCTCGTGTTGACAAGATAACATGGTAAACTACCAATTCCGTCATTAATTGACAAAACGCAGCGAATAATATCTAATTTCGTCTACCTAATAGAAACGGCAAAGAAGTTATCGGTATTTTAGATAACGGGAATAGAGTAAAAAACCACTTCCGGATATCAGATGTCACCAAAAAAATTAAAGTAGTTTTAATTATACGATTTATACTTATTTATGAAATTTCATCTAACTGAAACGGTGCTGAAGTTGGCGTATTCACACACACACATAAAGACAAGATTGCAAAACTAAGTTTTTCCGACTCAGTAAGGTGTAAATTGTGTAAAACGCCGAATTTTTCAAAATAGCATTTTTAAATATAGATTTTAGATTTATAAAATAGGTACGCCAAACAGATTTTAATTTTTTTTATATGCTGCCATGTCAATAACTCGAGATTTTAAGATCCTGGATACCAAATTTATTTAGATCTCGTGAACAGTTAATTATATTAAAGAAATTCTTGTTATTTTCTCCCTTTATTTAATGCATATAAAAAACTTACCCCAAGTTTTTTATTTAAACATTTTGTTGTGATACTTTTAAGTGTGGCTAAAAATATTTGCGCACCAAATAAACGCGCCGAATAGTGTTAATAACATTAATAATTAATAGCCTACGTTGTATCGCAAGTTTTAATTTATTATTTAAAAATTACTTACACATTTAATTATGTCAAATGTCAAGTCACATTGCATTTTATTTTGAGTCTTGACCTACCTAAGTTGGAAACCAATTGTTTCGGTAGAATTGGTTGAAATTTCGATCTTAACTTTTGACAAATTATGGTAAAAGCATAACGAATCTTGTTAAATAAAAGCTGGTTTAAAAAAATCCTCGTTTTAGACTTATTAAAAACCAAAGCGATTTCTAAACATAAACGTTATTTGATTGACGAGATTTTCAAAAAGCCTCCAATATTAAACCGAAAACAAATCAAAATCTAGGCTACGCTTGGAAATAATTTACGTTCATGTATAACATATTTTAATTCAGTAGTATGAACATTTTTAAATTAAAAAATCTTACCGTGCTGAACGTTATTACAGTATATATCTGGATGCTTGGCAATCAATAAACAGGAAATGAGGAAAATAGTACCAGTTATTACCAAACTTCATGAGGTTCGTGTTTTGGTAAATGAAAAATAAATAAATGTTTTTCTTAAGTCCGCGTATAATCAATCCCTTGAGTATCATCAGAGATTAATTAGCCACGCCCCCCCCCCCCCCCCGAGGACAAACAGCTAGGTTTTGGGGTGGGCGCTTCCGTGTTTTTCTGGACACAGTGTCGAAGTAACCTTCACGCGAACTGTGTTACGGAGGATGTTTACTTGAATAGATACCCAACTTCTGACTGTTGTACCTGGAGTGGCCGAGGCAAAAACCATTAAAAATAACAATTAAACCTCACATGCCTACACACTACTCACCATACACGCACAACGTCACTAGACATAAAACACACGCAGTAGACAAATTCATACACCTTCCTGCTCCAGAACAAAGACACCATAACACCTCTACACGAAACATGAACCACATTAAAATCCACATTCCAGAAGACTAACCACACCTCACAACACTAATCTCATAAATCCACAACCAACCTCTTATCGCATAACACACACCAATAATTACCCATATAACTGAACCTACATTACTACACACACGACACTCGCAGTACACCAATCAACACAGCACAACTTTCTACATCAAAAATACACTGCCCCACCCCATCCACGGCTTGAATTTTTTTTTTACAATAATTATTTTTCTTGGGGTACGAATTATCCATTTCCTTTATCTATTTATCAAATAAAGGAAAACCAGATTAGACGACCAACAATCATACATTTTTTTGCGATTTTTTTTTTTTTTTTTGCAAACGTGGTCGACACAATACTATTTAAAAACAAATGTTTTTATATTTGATATATTGGACGGGGTAGCCTAAGCGGTAGAACGCTAGGCTGCTAACACGAATGTCTCGAATCCGGGTTCTAGTAGGTAGGAAAGTGAGTCGGGTGGGCAAAGTGCTTTCCCTTCATATGCTGAGGTCAAGAAACTTATGAACTGTACTTTATATGCGCAATTGATCGCTAGGTGCAAATACATTTTTATCACTTTACTATAATATAATTATATTTTACGAGCCGACCCGCGGCGTATCATATGCCGCTATTTAGTTGTTTTATTGGGGTCGGCGTGATCGAGTCGGTAAAAGCTCATGGTTGCTAAACCGAAAAGTCTCGAGTTCGAACCCTCGGGCAGATGAGGCTTGTTAGCTGGGGACAGCCACTCTTCTAGGAGAGACAACTCCAAAATTAAACAACTGCTGCCTTGTAGTTTGTTCTTGGTTGGACAAAGGCTATGGAAGCAAATCCAAAAAGAAAAGCAGGCTGAAATCGGAGTCAATGGCATCAATGGCGCATAACCAGTTGACATGTAAATCTTAATTGTGTTGGAGGCGTGGTCGAGTCGGCAAAAAGCTCATGGTTGATAAATTCGAACAGTCTCGAGTTCAACCCCACTGGCAGATAAATCTCGATCCCCTTCAACACTAATAATTAAGAACGAAGAAGAAGAAGTTGTTTTATTTTCCACTTTTCGGTAATTCGTAATTTGTGAATTCGACTGTAACAATGCTGCCACTGAAAATATTTTCCTTAAAACACGATCAGTAGCTTGTTAAGGACGATAACCCCCCCCCCCACCCTCTTTTCCCCCAACCCTACCCTACACCCCCCCCCCCCCGTGAAAGCAACCTCTCTAAGTTACCTCCTCTAAGTTTAAAATCGTTTCAAACTAAATTATCTGACCCTAATAGCCGTCATTAAACCCGGCCCTACGAATGTAAACATTTAGCGTGAACCACAGCTCACCAGACCATTTGGGGGTGGGGGTGGTAGGGATATGCCTAGAGAGGAAGAGAGAGGGCTGCTAGGAGCGCTTACAGCTTAGTGTTTTCTATGGTCTCCAGGAAGTGAAATATATATATAGATAGTGTTTACTTTTTAAAATAGTATTTTATAATTATTTATCGTATAATTTGTTCTCATGCTGATCCGCTGAAACACTTAAAAAATATTTTTAAAAAAATTCAAATCTCAATTATTGCTTTAACAAATCGGATAAATTCATCGTTTGTGAAAATTTGAAAAAAAAAAAACAACAATTTCATTAATAACGAGCTGGTTATTTTTATTTGTTTTCGAACGTTAATGAAGTTTATTAACGAGGACATAGAATAAAAACTAGGCAGCTCTGTCAAACATAGGTGTCGCTGCACAAAAGTGCATTAAATAAGACAATCAATAAAATAACGTAAGGAATGTAATGAAGGTATTGGTAAACTTATTTTTCTTTTTAATTACAACAAGAATAATAAATTGTTTAATCCGGCTCTTACTTCAGTAAATGATAACAAAACAAAATTCTTCGTTAGACATTGGGATCCCACTAAACGTAGCACAAGTTGGGTAGGTAACTTTAGACTATTTATTTTTTGTCCAAATTGCAGCGGCTTTGAGCAATATTCTGGCACGTTTTACACCACCTACATTAAAGTGTCACATGTTTTTATAATATTCACTCAGATATTATGTGGTTTTAAAAGTAAACATTTTAGAGATCATCCGAATTTATAAAAAAAAAATTAATACACCTTTCCTGCAATCCCAATGACACATATAAATTAATTCATTTCTATACATGTTAACAATATAACCATATGATCTACTAGATGTACATAAGGTAATTGAGCCTACGATTAAAAAGAGCATATTACACAAGAAATCAGTATTGTAAATGTATAGATACATATCTATAAAAGCAATATTTTAATGTATAAATTTTTCTTTACGATCTACATGTAACAGTCATTCATTCTAATGAAAAAAAACAACAACCGTTAAACATTAAAAGTCTAGGATTGCTGCTATTTTAAGTTGTCATTATGAAAATGTTTTTTGGAGGCTATGTATTCAAATCCGATTATTGTCCTTCGATTCAGAAATGTTCCCCTATAAACAGATGTCTTGTTTGACTTTCTATCCTGTCACATGTTTAGTTCTTTAAAGGATAATAGTAATACTCCTTAATCGTTTACGGTTTTTGTGTGTTCTTGGTTGGAAATTATTCTTTTATTCATTTACCTAAAATATAAAACAAAGTTAAGAAAATAAGTTAATAAAAAATGGAAGTGTGTTTCTCTAAATCAAAAGTTGGCATAAATCGAAGTCAAAGTTATTTAAGAACTTTACGTCCACCTAAATGAAATGATGCAAAAGTTATCGGAAATAAAGTCTTTGATGAAAAATAAATTATAAGTGGCGTATATGTGTAAAAGCAATTGAAATATCTTTTAGCCAGCTACCTACCTTTCTTTTTTAATGCAATACCACACAATGAATAAGACTAAAACAATCACAAAAAGTGCCGCTATAGTGCCTATGATTATGCCGAAATTGATCACCTGAGACAAATATAATGTTCAAAAAGTTTAATAAAAGATTCACATTTAACAATTTTTTATCAACACTTTTAAACCAAAATACACTAACTAATCTACATTCCTTTTTAGACCGGTCGTTAGCTTATTTTTAAGATATGCGTATTTATCAAATCACAAATGTAAGCCCTGCTAGGGGGGGGGAT